ATGTTTGCTAATAATCTTAGTATCCTAATTTAAATCACCTAGCCTATCACTTATATTTTTTATCCACACGAAAACTACTATCGGTGGTTAGATAATTGTTATCCCGAAAATTAGGGGGTGTCCCGACACACCCCAATACCCCTCGCTCCGCCCCTGCGTGTATTTGTACCACTATTTTCGCGCGTGTCGGGGAGTTTCAGTTTGGGATGCATAAAATAATAGTAATTGGAGGGTTGGGTGGTGGTGGGGAAAAAAAAAAAAAAGACGACCGACTGGCTGACTGACAGAGAGGGTGCGAGCGCGAGTGTTGATAATAATAAAGCTGCTGTTTCGTCGATAATGGGAGTGGGAGGAGAGAGAGAAAGAGAGAAAGACCGTATACGGAAGAGGACCATGCCCATACGGCAGGCAGAAGTGCACAGCCTTCTCTCTCTCTCTCTCTCTCTCTCTCTCTCTCTCTCTCTCTCTCTCTCTCTCTCTCTCTCTCTCTCTCTCTCTCTCTCTCTCTCTCTCTCTCATTTCTTGGGCCGGGGCGGTGGGGGCCCGCCAACCACCACCACCGTAGGGCCCACCTCCTTTTCCTCCTCCTTCTCCTCCTCCTAACTGTAACGCCGACAGCAGCACGCTCCGTCAGTACGTCCGTCGCCGTCTCTGCCCGGAATCTTTCTTTACTAATCACGCCGTCACCCGGTAATAACAACGCTCGCTAAACTCAGTAAATTATTATTTATTTAATTAATTATATAGATTATAGACAGAAGATAATAAGAGGAAAATCCTAATTAGTTTGACTAAGATTACATATAATTTATGCAAGAACGGGCCGAGAAGGGGTCAGGGCAGGTCGGGTCGATGAGAGGTACCCATGCCCGCCCCAAAACAGGCAAAACAAATCGGGTAAAACGGGTCAAATCGAACTTGACATCCTTAGGTTGGACAATGGACACACTGGTGTATTTATAACATTTATTTTACCAGTACATGCATCTAATATAAATGGCACTAGTTTTTTACCCGCCCGTTGGGCGGTGCATTATATTTAGTTATTTTATAATTTGTTATAATATTCTAATTATTATTATTTATGTTTGTTGATCTAATATACATGTACTTGTAAATCTCACTTACCTTATTTTAGGTCATGTTTAACAAATTTATACCTTTTTTATTTATGAAAAATTTAATTGTATCAACCGAGCTCTCTCTAGACTGTTCTTTATTGATTTAGAATTTTGTATCGAACTCAAATAAGTGATGAAGAAGTTAAAAAATTTAAGGCAACAAACGAAGAAGTTAGAATAAAAAATATGCTTCAATTAATTAAAAAATAAGTAAAGAGCTTTTCATTTTCTTTCCCTTATCATATGTCATTATATGATAGTAGAGAATATTCCGATCTGGATCCCCCACGAATATAATGTATTATCAATTACACGTGCAATTCTGGAAAAATGGTGAAACACATTAACATCCACATCCATCAATCTTCCGCATAATTAACTTATCTTGACAATGTTCTAGCAAAACCAACCACAAACAGAACTATCAGTTATCACTAATTTATTAAAACAATATTTTTAACAAACTAAAATGCATATAAACACAATTTATATTTTATAGAGAGTTGCATATCTACTGCAAAAAAAAAAGTGTTCTTTTACCTAATAACAACATAGACAAATAATTAAAGGAGTACTACTTCAATATAACTCAAATCATTCTATCTTGCAGATTCCTAATTTGTGAACTGAATCTATGCACTCATCCAAATAGTAGTTGGTAAGAAAACAATCATGTCATAATCAATCTTTAGTCAGGGATTCCACCCTAATGAAACAAACAAATGTCAATGCAAACGTGTAGAAATTGAAAATCATTGAAATACACAACCGATAAACCACCACCATCATTTTCTTTCTTCTTCGCGGCCTTTATAAAAACCCCTATATGTTCCCTTCTACTTATAATCCCTTTGCTACCTACTAATTACTAACCAGATCATCATCTTATAGCTAGCTAGTAGCATGTCAATCATGAACATAAAGAATATAATGAACAACCCTCACAACTCTACTTTCCATTTCAATATCTAAGGAATCGAGTTGCAATAGGCATTTAAGAAAAACGATCAATTATTCAAAAAGAGATATGCTCTAAGTCCAACCAATTATTCCTTCTAATCATATATTATCTATTTACATAAAAGTATATGACGTAATAGAGAACATAAAACAACTCCGTGAAAACGAAAAAGAAATACATTCGCTCATCGAGTGGGAAAATTTGCCATCCAGCCGTTTTAATTTGGAAGAAATTAAGAAAATAATGGAAAGAAGAGTGAGTAGTTGCCATCTTCAGATCAAGGAGGAAGAGTGAGCAGTTGACAATCGTCGATTTTGTTCACCTCGTTTTCGCAATGATAGGATGAACTGTTGTCATCAGCAGACAAAAATATGTTACAACTGCTCAAAATTTTGCCATCTAATTGTTGCCTCGCGTACCTCCCTCATCCTATTCTCCTACAAAGAAAAAAAAAACTTCACATGCATTATTTCCTTCTCTATCTAAATTCTTATTTTCAATGTTAGATTTTATTTCTAGAGAGACAATCAAAATAGGAAAAGGGTAGAGATAAATTAATAGGTTGCATTCATAATTAATATGTTTTTATTTAATAGGAATGAATAAGAAGTGTTACAAAAATAACAATTATTGCTCTATCAAGTTTATCTCCATACTTTTTTTTATATAAATTATATTTATTTTATTTTATAAGTATATGCATTAGTAAGAATTGAGTTTTCATAGCAAAAAAATATATAGTCATATAGCTGGTTTTTCAAAATCGATTGATTGTCAAACACTTATTTTCTCTTAGACCATCGTTTAAATTTTGTTTAGTTGAAAATTTATTATTATTCATATGTGTGCTTGTTTTTTTTCATCTAAATGTAACTTATTATAAATTTTTAGTAAAAATTAATAGAAAATTTACTTATAAGATATTTTTGGGTTAAACAAACACAATATATGTCACTCTCTATTTCATCTTTATAGTAAGTTTAATTGGAAAAAAGTTTATTACTTATGTGTGTTTGTTTGTTTGTTTAAATGTTTCACAAAAAATGTAACTTATTTTAAGTTTTAGTAAAAATGATTAGAAGTATTAAAGAAGAGAGAGATAGCTCCATAAATAGATCAATATATAAATTTTTGTTTGTAAAAAAATTGTCCACCTTGGCATCTTGTGAATTCACTAAGTGCTTATGTGGCAAGAAGTTACTTTTGAATAGCCATAATATTAAGTATAGATAGATAGATATAGATAGATATTATATTATTGACCTACATGAAATCGTATTTTAATTTGTTCAAATATTAGTGTAACTCCTACCTAGATTTCTAAATGTATTCATTTTGTTATATCATAATATAATTATTTTTTTACGTTTATTTTTTCAAATAAAAATTAAGAATGGATCGACCCGTTATCCGCGTACCCTCCCCACCCCTAATCAGAATACATGATTATCAAGAAAGCTAAGGAACATGAAATTATTTATGTTATTTTCTTTTGGTAGAGATTTTATCCCAGAAGATAAGATGATATAACATATAAGCATTGCTTGCATTTGTTTATTCAACTCAACTTTTGGTTTTTCGTCTCCTTCAAACTTCAAGTGCAAGTGGTAATTTGCATCATAAACATAAAGCCTTACCAAAGTCCAAAAGATAGTTACACCATAAAGAAAGGGCATACCAGAGGGAAGAACATGCAGTACTGAAAGAAGCAGCTTCGAAATGTGGTTTACTAGAGTCTAGAGGGCATAATGGTAAAAGCAGTTAGCAGCAGCAATGGAAGGAAGTGATATCACCAACGTTGTCAAATACGACACGCAGGTATAGCAAGTGAAATTGATCTGATCAAAGTATAATTGTTTTATGTCAGTTGTAACAAAATATGTAGAGAAGATGGGAAACTATTATAGCAGATGAATTATGAATATATATAACCTATCTCAAGACAGTTTCCATATCTATATCCTCATATTTAAATATAACATTTAATCGTTATTAGTAAAATGATTATACTTGAATCTGACATCGATGCACATATTTTAAATAAAATATGTTACACACATAATGAAAAATACTCACATTTCAGTACAACTTTTGTTAATTAAATCCACCAAAACATTGACGGTCTTAGAAAAAAGAAATAGAACAAATCGGTTGAACCACTGATTTTTTAAATTTTAACCGATATTTATCAATTTTAACCTTATTAACCCGATTCTACCGACCGATCAACCACCGAGTTGACAACCATGGACTAGAGAGCGCTAAGTTTTTACAAAAAGGTTGGAATTCGTAACACATGCTGACAGTGCCACCACCTCCCACATGAAAATAAATATAAACCAACGGGTCAGACTGGTGTACTTCTGGAGTATACTATACTCCAGGTACTTCTAGCGAGATATATCTACTTATATCATAAATTAAATCGAGTTTGACATATGATACTATACTCTAACTTTTATTAATGGATAAATCTCATATTCCGATTTTCTAAACTCGAACCCGAAACTCAATTTAATGGAAAATAATATTTGACCGTTAACATTGATCGGAGCTCATCAAAGTACATCGATCAGATTACCTGAAGTATACTATAATTATGGAGTATATAAGTCATTACCAATTTACCATAAACCAATACATCCAAAAGAAAAGCAAAAGAAAAACAGAGCCATTAGAAGAAGGTCCAAGAGAGAGCTGCTTGAGAAGGTAACGGGGAGGCAGAGATAGGCGACGGAGATTTGTCGGCTTAGGAAAGCAAGAACAAAGAGGAAGAGAGGCGGTGGGAAGTAGGAAGAAGAAGTGAAAAAAAAAAAAAGAGAAAGGGAAAGGGTAGTCACTGCCTGGGGAAGGGAAGGGAAGAGACAAAGAGGAGTCGCCGTCAAAAAGAGAGAGAGAGACCCGCCTCCTTGCTATTTCTATTTCCTTCTTCTTCCTCCTCTCTCAACTGGATCTTCCCCCCACCACCACCTTATAATATATTGTTTTTCCAACACTCCTATCAAATCTCCATACTAATCATTCCTAGCTTTCTCTCTTTCTTTACCCCCAAAATACACCCATTTCCAAAACACCTCCCTCTTCCCTCCATTGCAGCAGCACAAGCAAGAAGCAGAGCTCTCTCTCTCTCTCTGCCTCTCATTCTCTTGTTTCTCTGCTCTTACTTGGGGGGAAAAGCACCTGCCTTGTTTTTTTTCCTTCTTTTCTTTCTCTTATGTGTCTTCTTTAAATTTCTTCTCTTTTTGTCTGATGGGTATGAGAATAAAGCTCCAGGGCTGAGATGTGCAGAATATCCACAAAGTGGGTTTACTTCCTTGGGTTCAAAAGCGGCCAACTTTGGTGGGTTGCAAGCTTTTGCCTTGTTAGCTTCTCTTTTGGGCTCAAAGGGAAGTGATAATTGTTGAGTTTACATGGTTTTGAAATTTGATTGTGTTTTTGCTTCCACCTTCTTATGCTGGCTTAAATTTAGCAGCAGAAGAAATGAGCATTTCTCAAAATGTAGTTGACTGAGAAGCAAAATTTCAAGTCTTCAACTAGTTGACTAGCTTCAGATTCAGCCTCGGAGCTTTTTTTTACTGTGATAGTTGTGTTCTTGTTGCAAGAGCTTTTTTGGGGTTTTCCTGGAGATCAACAAACTTTGTCTATTTTGACATTTTAGAAATTTTGGTGTCAAAGGAAAAGCACCCACCCCCAATGAAGAAATTCCACTGGTTCAAGCAAATCTCCAACAATAATATTAATAGTAACGCAGGATTGGGGAGGAGGCTTTCACTAGGAGAGTACAGGAGAGCAATCTCATGGTCCAAGTATCTGGTCTCATCTGGTGCTGAAATCAAAGGGGAAGGAGAGCAAGAATGGAGTGCTGATATGTCCCAATTGTTCATAGGCAACAAATTTGCTTCTGGGAGGCACAGCAGGATCTACAGAGGGATCTACAAGCAGAGAGATGTTGCTATCAAGCTCATTAGCCAGCCTCAGGAGGATGAAGATTTGGCTTCCTTTCTTGAGAAGCAGTTCTCTTCTGAAGTTGCCTTGCTCTTTCGCCTAACCCACCCCAATATCATCACTGTAAATATCTCTTCCCCTCTTACCCCCTTTTTTTTCTTCTCATTTTTCTTTACTGTCACAGTTCACATCCCTTTTTTGTTTGCTACGGATTGTGGGAATCTGGTGGTCCAATTTTGGTATCATTTGGTGACTTTTGCCTTTGCTAATAAAAGGGTGGTGGTGTCAATTGCTGAGATGTGTTTAGGAGATTTTGGCTATCTATCAGTAATCAGCATTTTTTTTCAAACGGGTTGCTGTTAGCTAAGATAATGAAAGTTTTTGACTAAATGACATGTTTGGTCACGGATTTTTTCTCTCTTTCAAATGGGTCGCTGTTAGCTAAGCTAATGAAAGATTTCATCTTTATTTGATTCTAACTAACCAGGATGCTCATTGCTCAGCATTTTTCCTTTTAAAATATATCATCTTGGGGAAGGAGAGTCTGGTTTTGTGGAACCATGTTGGTATGGAACATTTATTGAAGGGTTTGGGGATATATAGTATAATGTTGCCAATCTGTTTGTTGCTTTATGATTGCTGTCCCCCCATGTGCAAAGAGTTATTGCTCTTGTTCTTCACCACCACCACCACCACCACTCTTGCTTCTGGTGAAGATAATAATCCTTAAAAAATAAAGAAATTGGGAGAGAAGAATTGCATAGGCAACAATAATAAGGTGAAGGATCTGCAACATGCATTTAAGATGGCTATGCCAGTTCTAGCCACTCTTTGAATTCACCTTTACTTGTCATCACCAGTCTTCCACATGGCTCATGGTCATGGGTTCACTGCATTTCCCATGTGCTGACCGTTGGTGTATTGTTTTTTTGGTATCCCACCAATTGATGTTTGGGAATAGTTATGGTGATGCAGTGCATGGAGTTTACTCATTCATTTCATGTAGATGCTCTGCTTGGTGTCTTCTTGTATTTATGACTAGCAAGTTGCAGCAGATTTCTCTTTCTGTTTTCAGTTAGTTTCCGGTACCATTTTCCTGTAGGAGCTGGAATTGTGAGAGAAGTTGCTGTTCTTTCAGTTGTAGTTTGTGTTAGGGAGCTTATTAACATTAGGGTGATTAGCCTTCTGCTAATGTCTACCACTGTGTGACATAATTTTCAATTATCTTGTTCATGGTTTTGTTTCTCCTTCAGCAACTTCTGTTTGACTTCACACATTCAGTTTGTTGCAGCATGTAAGAAGCCTCCAGTATTTTGTATCATCACCGAGTACTTGCCCGGAGGGTCACTGAAGAAGTACCTTCATCATCAGGAGCCACACTCGCTTCCGCTGAGCCTGGTTCTGAAGCTGGCGATGGACATTGCTCATGGAATGCAGTACCTTCACTCGCAAGGAATTCTTCACAGGGATCTCAAGTCGGAGAACCTGTTGCTTGACGAGGACATGTCTGTTAAAGTGGCCGATTTCGGGATCTCGTGCTTGGAATCACAGTGTGGTAGTGCCAAGGGGTTCACGGGGACGTATCGGTGGATGGCTCCCGAGATGATCAAGGAGAAACACCACACGAAGAAGGTCGATGTGTACAGTTTTGGGATCGTGCTGTGGGAGCTCTTGACTGCGTTGACTCCATTCGACAACATGACCCCTGAACAGGCTGCTTTTGCAGTTTGCCAAAAGGTATATACATTGAAAGAAGCTAACAAGCCAAGGCTCTCTGCTTTGCTACACGCATATCTGCGGTAGAGCATTGTGTACTAAGCTTATTGATACACTACTCAAGTGTTGTGCTGCGTTTTGTTCGTTTGGTGCAGAATGCTAGACCGCCATTGCCTGTTACATGTCCGAGAGCACTTAGCCAGCTGATCAATCGATGCTGGTCGAGTAATCCGAGCAAACGACCGCATTTCGACGAGATAGTTGCGATTTTGGAGAGATACTCGGAGTCCTTGAGTCGAGATCCCGATTTCTTCTCGAAGTACAAGCCAGGCCTTGAACATAGTAAGTTAGGACGCCTTGCGAATTGCATTGTAGCATCTCCCTGCACTTTTGCAAAAGCCTCCTCCTCCTCCTCCTCGTAGGAAGGAAGAACTCTATAAGAAGTCGTTTCTTTGCCCTCATTTATGGAATGCTAAGTGTACAAATATTCTTCTTGTGGGCGGGCCTTTGGCCTTCTCTTTCTTAGGTTTTATGTCATTAGCTTCTTCTGCACCAAAATTATATGGGGAATGAAGAGAGGTTCATCTGAATGCCCATTTTGTGGAGGAAGATGCAACGTTTAATAAGCTTATGCTCATTGGGAAAATCTACTTCTCCCCGCTACCGTTTTGTCAAGAGAATTTAAGCCAATTATCACATTTTGAGGCTCGAACCAAATAACTATACGACGATTTGTCAGGTTTTATACAGGTTTCCATAAAAAAAAAAACGTGATCGGTTAGCATGCTAACCCTTCTAAGGGTTTGGAAAAATGATACCCCTATTAATTATAGTTATTTTTTGTATTAAATTCGTGTTGCATTTAATAATCTTTGGAAATTAAAAACTCATCTTAATTACATTCCTTTTTTTTAACTACCATTGTACTGATACAACTACCATTGCACCTGTATACTGAGCTCGTATTAATTACGTTCCTTTTTTGGAACTACCATTGTACTGATACATCTACCATTGCACCTGTACACTAATACCATTGCACTGATACAACTACCAGTGCACTGAAAAAAGGAAAGTAATTAATATGTGTTTTTAATTCATACAGATTATTAAATGCAACACAAATTAATTACCTTAAAAACCTATAATTAATAGGGGGTGTCATTTTTCCAACCCTTTTATGGGTAGGCATGCTATCTCATCCCCAAAAAAACTATTCCTCAGGTATTTTAGGGGCATTTTTTGATTTTGTAATCCTTTTCAATCTCATATTATCATGTGCTTTGTATCTCTCCGTACAATCTCATCTCGCTAAAGGAAAACTTTTACAATGTCAGAGCTGACATGCCTCGCGGGCGAATACAATCGCCAAAAACGCTTGAGGATTGGTAGGACCACAGAAAGAAGTGAATGACAAATGAATAAATTTCTGAAGATGAAAAGATCGATGAGTCAGTTGAGTATAAGAAAAGTTAGTAGTATAACCCAACCCAAATAAGAAACAAAGACAATATTAAATTGAATAAGGGTGAATAGAAAATTATGATTGCATCCACCCACTACCACATAGACATTAATAACAGTTTGAACAAGTACCATATAATTTCTAATGGTTAGAAATAAATTTGGAGCTAGCAATTGTTTGAAGGAGCAGAAGCAGACAAATTAATGATATACATAAGCTGTAACGAATGATCAAATCATAATGACGGTTTGGCCGAGTGGTCTAAGGCGCCAGATTTAGGCTCTGGTCCGAAAGGGCGTGGGTTCAAATCCCACAGCCGTCAATTTTTTTTCCCCCTTGAACTGAACGCCTCTAAGATTAGTGAATTTTGCACGTTTAGCATCCTGCTCCATTAGGTCAATTTACAAATCAAAGAACTTAATAACAGTGATCCTGAAGGAGATGAAGATCATAAACCCATGCCAACACTTCAGTTAATGATATAAAACCAGGAGATGCATCTGTAGGCTGTAGCTTCTTTCTGACATAAAACCAGGAGATGCAAGGCGTTAGATGTTAGTGAGTGATATATGATCCACGATTGAATATCTTCCAACAACTCGAGTTATTTGGAGCAATTAGTTCTTGACATGGTATCAGAGCCTTTTGTGGCATAGAGGTCATATTCAGATTGAACCCGAGTTATTGAGAACAATTGGTTCTTGACATCAGATACTCTGATCCACGAATCCGCCTCGATGGTACTTATGACACGCTAATATATATGGGACACATGATCATCAACATGGGTGATGTATATATATACTCTGTACCTAGCTTGCTAATCTATGGCTAATCAGTTTTCTGAAACAAATTTACTGAAGACGCATTCATGAGCATGCAGGGTTTTCTTTTCTCCTTGCAGGAAACAGTTGCCAAGTGTCGCAAATTCCTCAGCGGATCTGTATGATTATCCAGTCTTCTGAGCCCACACGAATTAATTGGGCTAGTTTTTGTTTACATTTAACGCAGCTAATGGACTCAGATAGCTTCCTAACAATTTTGGCCTGGGCCCGCACGGGCTCAAAGGCACAACAACAATAACACTTGAGCCCAACAACAACAACAATAGGCACGAGTCTAGTGCTGCAAATGAGCCGAGTCGAGTTTTATCTTAGTTTGAACTCGGCTCGACTCGTTTTGAGTCGAGTTTGAGCTAGCTTGTTTACTAAAATCTTGACTTTTATTTGGTATTTCATTTTGTATATCATGATACATATGATTTATTTTGTTAACTAATCTCATATTATACTTTGTTGGTATCATATATCATTTAGTTAATAAATTTTAACTACTCCAAATCATGTTATTTCATAGTATCGAAGCAATCTATGATACATAATTCTTTTTAAAGTATAAAATAAGATATATTTGCTCACATACTTAACATGTTAAACTTTATATATGGTGAGATATATAATTTAACAACCATATGAATTAAAATCATAAGATATAAGATTGATTCGTCCATAAGTTGGTAATCGAGTTGGCTCTCTAGCCACATGTTGAGACATATCATGAGCTCTAAACGAGCCAGCTCACGAGTTTAGCTCAACAAGCCACCGAGTCGAGCTAGCTCGCGAGCTGAACAAAGGTGAGCTCGTGTTCGGCTCGTTTATTAACGAGTCGAGTTTCGAACGAGCTTTTCTCGAGCGAGCGGCTCGGCTCATTTGCAGCCCTAGGCACGACGCAGACACGCAGAAATGCAGAAAATCTGTGATGCGCTGTTTCTTTCCTAAATAGAAGAAAAAAAAACAGAGTCTGACTAATTAATTTCTAAGTTGATTTTGTTTTTCTGAGAAACCAACTGGATCGGATTTATTTTCCACAAGGCGAATGCAAGCATGGACCCAATCACCTCCTGCACTTCTACTTGCATTGCACCAACAATTCCTTGATTTCAACTATTCCAGTTTCCATCCACGCAAGAAGCATTTGGCTCTCTTTCTGGTGGGAAACGCAAGCAGCATTGATGGATGAATATCATCCCTCGTTAATTACGATATATATATTACTGCCCTCCTACACGGTAAAAAAAAAAAAAAAAAAGACTAGAGACGGCAGTCGGCCGGCCGGGGAGACAAGAAGAAGAAGAACCATTAACTACTCTGTTTACATATTGTGCTACTCTAGAGGGATCGATCGATGGGTGAAATCGGCGGCGACAGTTGCGACGATATTGCTGCTGGGAAAATCCCCGGTTGGTTTGTTAATGTTCAGAAAGGATGGCCAGGTGCATATTGTGCACATTGATTCATTCATTTCTCAGCCACGAAGCTGGTTTACTAGATAGATACATCATTCAATAATATAATCCCGCGCATGCATGCAGGGGAAGCCCTCTGCTTCGAAGTGGAGAAGATTCTGTTTCAAGCCAAATCCAAGTACCAACACATTCTGGTTTTTCAGGTAACTAAAATTACCACCATCCACCAACACATTATAACGCCATTTCTAAATTTCATCAATGGTGAAATGTACACATATATATAGTCAGCTTCGTATGGGAAGGTGGTAATGCTAGATGGGTCTCTCCAGCTGACTGAAAAGGACGAGTTTGCGTACCAAGAACTCATAACCCATCTTCCCCTCTGCTCCATCCCTAATCCCAAAAAGGTACATAGTGACATACATACATCATTAGCCAGCCAACACACACGCTAACACGCGCGTGGTAAATCTGTGTGTTCTTTACTTTCATGATTCGTTAACTAATTATCAGGTGTTGCTGATTGGAGGGGGAGATGGTGGCATTCTCGCGGAAGCTTCTCGTCATTCCTCTCTGGAGAGGATCGACATCTGCGAAATAGATCACCTCGTCATTGATGTTAGTGCTACACTTTACTTTCCCTGACAGATATATATATGGGGTCACTGAATCATTTCATTCTTCACATTAGTTTACACTCTCTATTGTTTGGGTAGGTTTACAAACGTTTCTTCCCCGAGATAGCCATCGGATACAATGACCCACGAGTTCGAGTGCATATGGGCGACGGTAAGAATCAATGGAATTGAAGTACATGCATGATGAATCACCTGTATGTATGTCTCACGATAATTAGTGACGAACGTCGACCAGGAATCGAGTTCCTGAAAGTTGTTCCAGGAGGCACATATGACGCCATCATATTGGACGCCTTCACCAACATGGGTATGTAGGCGAGGTTGCATACATTTACGGGTTGTTCGTTGTTTTGAAAAAAATAGCGATTTAAAAATTCAAAACCTGTGCTTTCACATCTCGAAATTATCAAAAACGTTTTTTTTCACGTAAAATCACGCCTTTGAATGCATTGATTTCGATGACGCTGAGCTGACGCAGGGCCTAATGGAGATGTGGTGGAGGACGAATCCTTCTTAAGGACAGTAGCAAATGCTCTTAGGCCAGGCGGAGTAATGTGTTGCCCGGCAGACAGCTTGTGGAGCACCGGATTTTCGTTGCCAAATGTCGTCGCTAAATGCCGCAAAGTCTTCAAGGGCTCTGTCAATTATGCTTGGAGCTCCGTCCCGTCATATTCCAGGTACCCATATAAATTGGATGAAATAATTTACAAGACATGGGAGCTTTGTGAGACCAGATAAATCGACCGGTCACAAAAAGTAAAAGAAAGTCGTTACAAAAACATTTGAACAGTTAATCTAATTTTTGGCGACCAATTTTTTTGTTGTTGCAATTGCTATTATTTCGGTTTACTGATGTTATGTTCAAAATTTATTCTTTCTATTTGTATTCCATTTAGTGGAATGATTGGGTATATGCTTTGCTCCAAGGAAGGGCCGTCGGTTGATTTCAAGCATCCGATTAATCCTTTAAATCCAGAGCATTTGGGTGTGGCTAAAGGTCCCCCAAGGTTCTACACCTCTGAGGTACATATGCTCATATTTTTTTTGTTGATGGTTGACTCCAAAGATCTAACTTAGGGTGTAACAGATGTTTGATTGCACTATTTGAACTTGACTAATGACAAACATAAAAACTGCTGCTTTGTCGCAGGTACATGCTGCTGCCTTCTGTTTGCCGTCTTTTGCCCATGGAAGGACATAAAATTCACGAGTACAAATAACTCAAGGACGTGCATCTCTCATTTTCAATTGTTTTCTTTTCTCAGATTATTTGTATGTCATAGAATATAATATAGCAAATTTACAAGTAATTATAATAGACAATTACATTGTCATGACAAGTATAGATTGGCACCTGCAAAATAAAATGAATATTCGGCTAATTATAGTTGACAATTAAATCAATGACTCTTCTGCCTAAATTATTTATGACCATGTAAAAACTCGTTTGCTTGGGTAGCCGTGATAGTTAGAGCAGAGCGAACATAAGCACGTTACAGTAGTAAGGAATATAGAAATTCCGTGAGGGATTCCCTTTGACGGAAGCAACCAAGACACATTCTCCAGAAGAAATTTCAATAAAATTGAATGAATTCGTATATAGATTGAAACAATAGAATGAACGTGGTACAATCATCTTAGTGACTATTTAATGGAAGAAAGATAAAAATGATCTTATTTGTTCATGTGTCCTTAAGGGATCTTGTAGTGAGTTTGTTGTAATCTCAGCCTATGTTGATGACACAAACATCATTGGAACTCCCAAATTAAGAGCTTCCAAAAGTAGTTGATTGCTTGAAGAAAGAGTTTGAAATGAAAGATTTAGGAAAGCACAGTTATGTCTTGGATCACAAATTGTATATTTGAAGGATGGTACATGTGTGCATCAAGAAGGATATGTTGAAAAGCTTCTTAAGTGATTTTATATGAGCAAATCACACCTTTGAGTATCACAATGGTTGTAAGCTCACTTGATGTGAAAAGAGATCCATTTAGACCTCAAGAAAGCAATGAAGAACTACTCGGTCTGGAAGTATCATATCTTAGTGCGATAGAAACATTAATGTATCTAGCCAGCCATACATGACCTGATATATCGTTTGTTGTGAATATATATGCATGATATAGCTCTTCTCCCTCTAGAAGATATTGGAATGAAGTTAATCATTTACTCTGTTACCTTTCAAACTACAACATATGGGCTTGTTCTATGATCCCATCGAAGATGGATTTAGTGGGGGATATGCAGATATAAGATATATCTATGATCCCCACAATGGTAGATCACAAACATAATATTTGTTAAATTGTGTTGTACAGTCATTTCATGGCAATACACAAAACAAACTATAACAACCACATCATCTAGTCATGCGAAAATACTAGTTATTCACGAGGCAAGTAGTGAATGTGTTTGTATAAGATCTATATAATTCAACACATCATCTATACTTGTGGGTTACCTTCCGGAAAAATTATCTCGATGATCATGTATGAAGATGATGCAATATTTATTGCTCAATTAAAGCAATGATACATTAAATGAGATAAAACAAAACATATCCCACCCCAAGTTATTTTTCCCTCATGATCTTCCAAATATTGATGAAATAATTATTCACAATGTCCTCTCAAGTGAGAATCTAGCAGATTTATTCACCAAGTTACTTTCGACGACTATCTTTGTAAAGTTTGTTCATGAAATTAAAGTTCGACTACTAAAAATCCTGAACTATTTTGGTCGTGAGGGCGAAAAATAGATTTGATTTTTAGTAAGGTGCTGCTTAAGTTATTCGAATCTGAGACCTCTAGATTCTACACCAGTGATAGTACCACTGAATCATGCTTTTGTTCCCTTCTTGTTCAAAATTTTCTTGCATCAATAGGCGAATGACAATTTAAGAATGATAAAAAAAAATACAGGAAAACTCGCCTTTCATCACGGGAATTCCCGTGAACAAAGACACAAATCCCGTGACAGCAAGGCCATTAAATATCATTGTCACGGGACATCCTGTGACGATAAAGTTTTCTTAACCGGAAACATCGAAGGACAAATGATACATTTCATCACGATAAAACCGTGACTAAGCATTAACCACGGAAATCCCATGACTAGAAGGTCAAATAGCAATGAAACACCCCGATCCTTTTAAACAACCGAAATAATCATGGCTCCGGAGCCGGTTAAAAACAAAGCTTAAAAACTTAAACATTCCCAAGAAAAACGTCAAATGCATTGCCCTAAACACGTGGGCAAAACTCAAATGCATAGTTATTAAACCTCAACCTTTGAACCTCCAGTTATACTCATAATCATAAACACAACTGACTAAACAAACTATAACTCCTTGCTTAATTCAGGGACATCTCGTCAGTGCTGGTGCGGCTGCTCGCCTTGCCTTGCTCCTCTCAAGCTCGCTGCTCTCTAACTCCTCTTAGTACTCTTCAAACTGGTGAGTGAGATGGGGTCAGTCTACGCCCTTACGTTTATTACTTTTAATACTTGAGCACTCTGCTTAAAACACTTACTTAAACTTATGGAAGTTGTTTGTACTTCCGCCTTTAAACTTTAACTCTTAAAAACGTATTATTTCTTCCATTATCTTATTGTGAGGCGGGGCCCCTACCTCGACTTAGCTGGCGCCACTACTAGCCTTACTAACTTTCTTATTTCTTAAACATGACTACCCTCACAATGGGGTGCCCCTCAAATGGGTTTGACCACCGCGGAACGAATCACCATCCGGTGTCAAACTACGGTGTGACTACCGCGGAACGTATCACCATCCGGTAGCACACCTAAACCGAGGCAATGGATACCGCGGAACTTATCACCGTCCGGCTCCACGCCTGACCAACTACCGCGGAACGTATCACCATCCGGTAGTGATCAACTACCGCGGAACTTATCACCGTCCGGTAGGGACCTGTCTAGCTAGTGGCTAGCTAAGCGAGGCTAACTTATTCTTTCTCGTGACTTTCTCTTGTTCTTATCACCATAACTTATTAAGCGATGAAGTATTAAAATACTCTTTCTTAAACGTCGTATGAACATAAACTTAAATGCTTAAATGTAGATATTGAAACGCTCAAACAATAACTCAAGTCGAAACATGCATAATCAACACAATCATAAATCAAGCAGTGCACATAAACTTCACGTAAGACAAATACTTAAAACATGTAAGGCAAATACTTGAAAATACGTAAGGTGTAGAATTTACCCCCTTTACACTCACCTCGAAAACGTCGAAACCAACTCTGATTCTCCTCTATAAAATTCCATGACTCGCTCCCATTAAATCCTCCTTGTTCCCACGATTCTATAGGCGCCGACGATTCCTCAATCGGACGTCAACTGATCGAGTTATGACCAAATAGACTTCCGTAAGTTAAAAAGTACCAGGTACCGAAACTGAAATTTTCCAGTCAAGCCAGTTGACCACGAACTCTCTGAAAAAATTTCTTATTTAATCCTCTAACTTTTTGAATTGCTACGAATGGTACCTAAACTTGACAGATTTCCGTTCGAACTTTGGAGGCTTGGTTCTCCCTCGTCCGACGTCGGAATTTGATTTCGTCGACACAGTGACGATCTTGAGCTCGTCCTCTACGCAACTGTATCCTCGTTTTGGAATATGGTTGAATCCGATGATGCCAGTACCGCCGACGTACTTTCCGGCGAGCCCCCGATTCCCTTCCGTCAACACTACGATTAGCTATACATACGAATACCAGTTTGGAATCGCAACAAAAAATGTCGTTACTTACCTCTAGAGCATCTGACGCCGAGCGAATGCAGGTTTTGGTCAAGCGATGGAGGCGGCCGACTATTGGTGAGGAGTGGTGGTCGTTGAGTGGAGCCGTTGCTCCTTCATGCCGACTACGTATTGCTTGCGAGGCTGCTGCTGCTCCTTGCGAGGGAAAATAAGGACGAAATACTGGGGAACGAGCTGCCATTGGGAAAAGGTCGGGTTCTTAATTTCTTTCCATTCTTTCAATCTACCTCGTTGTGGTTTACGGTGGGGGAAAATAACAAGGGGTAATAGGAAACGACGTGTAATGGGAGATGAGCAGGATTTTATTCGGGGAATGGGGAAAACTAATTGGCTGGAGAAAAGACGTTGGGGAGGGATTTAATAGATGAGGGGTTACGTGAGAGTGGGGTGGGTGGGTTTTTCTTTTTCTTTTTATAATAATAATAATAAAGATGATCATGATAAGTTGAATGGGAACTTGAGGGGATGATGATGATGATAATAATAATAATAATTATTATGGTTATTCTTAATTCACGGTTGCAATCTTTCGTACGTAATTGTCGATCCAACCGTTCGGTCGAACCTAGACCTAAGTGCCGGGGTGTTACATTTCCTCCATCCTAATAAAAAAAAATTTCGTCCCCGAAATTTGCACGGACTCATTCTCCCGTACTCCTCATTCTTGTACTTCCTGGCGCCTCAAGAATTTACCCCCACTATACAAACTTTGATGAGGTCCGCTGCTTGTCCCGTATAGTTTACCCCAATTCTTATATTTCCGCATGACTGCCAAAGGTATTCTCCCAAGCTCGTTAGCATCTAGTAGGTTGGAGTGGCTACTTGTCCTCTTTAATTCCCTCGCTCGGGTGACGGCCTAAAATTTTGATTCAATTTATTAGTCTAGCTCATTCAGTACTTGGTGTTGGACCTTAAATCGAAAACGAGGTATCACATAGCAACAAGATTTCTTATGATGATTTTCTTAAGACCGTCAAAAGTTATGTGAAATCACAAAATGGTTAATTTGAGGCAACAAATGATCTTACTTGGAGACAAAAAGTCGGACATACCACTTTTGATTGTTTGCAGTTTCGAGGATCTCGAAAAGTTATGCAAAATCAAAAAATAATTCACGTTTATCTTATAATCGAGCACAAAGTTAATATCGTTTGATTTTTTTTCGTACATAACAAATTGTTGAGGTGTCAATCAATCTATCTCCTATCGATTTTGTTTGAAATGATATGTCTCAATGTAGTTGGGAACTTCTTAGAAAATTATTATATTCTGAGAATTTTTATAGTAACGTGCATAATTTTGGGGAAAATCCCAAAATCTGACATGAAAATTGTGCTCTCTAGTCTCTAATCAGTAATCACAATATCAGGTCTTCAGTCGGACAGCTTTATTCGGATGCAACTACTTCCAAGACGCAGAGGAGACCGCGCCATTTCTTTCCCAGGGCAAAAGAAACGTAACACCATTCTTCCATCGGGCCAAGAAAATTGGTTGCCGCCGATCAGATGGCGACGACGGCTCTCCGGCGGTATGGTTCCCAACTGAAGAAAATGTGGGAAATAGCGGGTCCGGCCATGATCACCGAAATATCTCAGTTCTCCATCGCCCTCGTCACTTCAGCTTTCGTCGGCCACATCGGACCTCTGCAGCTCGCCGCCGCTTCCATCGTCCTCAACGTCCTCGAAGAGTTTGCCCTCGGATTCATGGTTGGTACTCATTCACCAGGAAAATTTTCAATTGCCCAGTTCTGATTTCGGGAAACCCCTAATCTTTTTAGGGATTTTGGTTTTTTCCCCGATGAATTGAAAAACCCAGTTGGGAATTGGGAGCGCATCGGAGACTCTATCGGGGCAAGCAGTGGGAGCGGAAAAGCTGTACATGCTGGGAATCTACATGCAAAGGTCATGGCTGCTCTCAATCGCCACTGCTCTGCTTCTAACTCCAATCTACGTCCTGGCGTCCCCAATTTTCCACACCCTACTTGGGCAGGAGAAGCAGATTTCGGAGCTCGCTGGGAGGTTTGCTGTATGGATGGTGCCGCAGCTGTTCTTCTTTGCCCTGAATTTCCCAATGCAGAAGTTTCTGCAGGCGCAGAGCAGGGTTTGGGTTTTGGCTGGGATTTCTAGCGCAGTACTTTCTGTTCATGTCTTGTTGAATTGGGTGTTCGTTTCGAAGCTCGGGTATGGGATCATAGGTGCAGCTGTTGTTGGGGATGTCTCCTGGTTCTTGTTGGTTGTGGCACAAGTTGTGTACATGGTGTGGGGCAGTTTCGATTCCTGGACGGGTTTCTCGACCAAGGCGTTCTCCTCTTTCCCGGCTTTCGCCAAGCTTTCTCTGGCTTCCGCTGTACTGTCATGGTTAGCTTTTCTTGGTCTGTTCTTGTTTGAGTATAGCTAGCTTGAATGTTGTGAACGATGAACTTGAATGTGGCAGCTTGGAGATATGGTACCCGACGATGGTGATTCTGATGGTGGGATGGTTAGAGAACCCTGAAATTGCAGTTGCTGCCTCTTCCATCTGGTAAACGAAACAAACAATCAAATCCCTAATCTATTCACAGCTTGAAGTTTGATGTTGATTGACTAACTTGGGAAGAAAGTAATGTCTCTGTTTATTTTGGATGTGACAGCTTGAACTTTCAATACTGGGCATGGATCATTGCTGCAGGATTCAATGCTGCTATCAGGTTAATTCATAGACTCCGTTTTGGCTGATAGTGATTAGTTAGTTGTTCTCCATATGGTTGGACTAATTTGATCGAAATCAATTTCTATGTAAGACCAGCGTCCGAGTGGCTAATGAACTGGGAGCTGGAAACCACGAAGCGGCGAAACTGTCAATCGCAGTCACGATTTGCGCATCTACAGTGGTCGGAGTAACATTCTCGACAGTGGTGTTGGCCTCAAAGAACGAATTCCCGAAGCTCTTCTCTTCGGATGCTGAAGTCATCCGAGAAGCAGGAAACTTGGCTTACTTCTCTGCGGCTGTGATCTTCCTTGACATTATCATGCCTGTACTCCATGGTATAGTTTCACAACCGTATGAACGTAACGAAGTCTTGCCTTTTTCTTTCAAGACTTTACTGCCTGCAAATTTTTTACAGTCCATGGACGTTGTTCTGTTCAGGCGTGGCAGTCGGAGCAGGGTGGCAAAGCCAGGTTGCAGTGGTTAACATCGTGTGTTACTACATCGTGGGGCTTCCGTTGGCAGCCATGCTTGGGTACACATTCGAGTTCGGAGTAAAGGGTATATGGTCAGGGATGGTGGTTGGATGTGTACTTCAGATGGCTTTCTTACTGTTCGTGATCCACACGACAAACTGGGAAACTGAAGTGAGTCTCTTTTGTTATGTGCATATGATTCTCTTTGGATTGAGAGGTAATTTGATAGATGGTTGATGGAAACTTGTACCATATCACATGACGATCTGTGTTGCAGGCATCGAAGAGCGAGGCGCGAATGAAGGACTGGGGTGAGATTTCTGAGACTCAACCGATTGTAGGTGATACAGAGGAAAATGAATTGGAGGAGAGCAGCTTTGAAGGAAGACAGAGTTAAAACTTGGAGAATAGAATAATTTTTTGGTTAATTCTTGTACAGGGGGGCCGATCCAAGTATCCAACCGATGCAGTAGTCTTTTAGGGTTTTTTTTTATCCTTTCTCCAATATATTAGTGTCTCTTGAGAAGTGCAATTAAGTCATTTGGTCGGATTAACAGTGGACAACTTGAGAAATAAGATATTGATCAAATTGCAACGGGTTGGGTTCACGGTTCAGGCCTTCAGGGTCTTAAAAGATTAAAACTTAAAAAGTTTTTTAAATTGGCAACTCTTATTTTTATTATTAGATCTAGTGGTACTAGGGGTGGGCATTGGGTGGGTCGGGTGGATTTTGACCATAAAATGCACCCACCCGCGCTTAAACGGATTGATAATTTTTAACCCACCACCCACCCACATTTAGTCTCGGGTTGGGTCGGGCGGATGGTGGATGATGCGGGTGGGTTTGTGGGTTCACCCACATCACAATGTATATAATATAACGGAGTCAACTTGACATGATAATAGGTGAAGAGAATCATCGAGGGAAACAAGAAGTTGAAATATGACGAAAAATGTCGAATTAGTTCTTAAATTGGATAGAAATTCTATTATGAAAGAGTTTTCTACAGATTGAGACGATTATTAGGTGCAAGGAACTAAGGAAAATAATTCCACAAAGGAAAGAGCGGTGATCTAGGCACAAGAATTAGAGGAAAAAGTAAAGGGAAGAAGAGGGGATCTCTATTTGGAAGGTTGGCTTTGAGGTTCAAACTCCAGGAGTAGTCCGAATTTATATCTAACGTCTCCACTCTCCTCTCTCTAGCGCCAACGACTTTGATCTTTTTGTTGTTGGGTTGAGCGGGTCACCCGCACACTCACCCACAACCCACCCACCACCCGGCGGATGGCTCCCAGCGCAACCCGTCACCCACCCACAGACCCATCCACTTAACAAAATTCGGGTCAAATGCGGGTGGGTCGGCCCAAACCCGCGGATGATCCACCCGCATGCCCAGCCCTAAGTGGTACTGTCATTAATTTGGATATGATAGTCACATATTTGAATTTCTTAACTAAGACCTAATAATAAAAATAAATATATGCCGTTTTTATAAAAAAAAGTGTCTTAAGTTAATCTTGACCCTTAGATTAATCTAGTGGATTTAATAGGTTGTTAAGTGGTTAAGGATAATTAGAAAATTGAATTTATGTTTTAGATTAATAATGGGGGTAAATAAATTTAATTGGTAGGATAATGGATTGGGTATTAGTGGCCGGAATTTGTATTTTAATTTTTTTTTTTTTGCATTAAGGGAGGCAAAAGCCAAGAAAGAAGAAGACAGGGGGTTACAAGGAAGCCGAAGCTACAACTCGACGTTCAAAAGTCACACCCATCTCGTCATCGTGAAGGAAACGTCTCAGATCACTTGGCGGGTCAATAAGCTCATGCATACCGTAGGGATAGACGAGACTGTGCTTCGAGAGCCAGTCCGCGACTCTATTCCCTTCGCGATATGTATGCTCTATATTGACCAACCAATCTCGAGCCAAACATCTCCTTATCGAGGAGAGGAGGGAGGCATGAGGGTGGAGAGGGTCAACCCGATTCTTGATCCACTGAATAACCAACTGGGAGTCCGTTTCCACCTGCAGATTGACGCAACCGTGACTCCAAGCCAGGTTTAAGCCATGAAAAAGAGCCCATAGCTCAGCCAAAACCGCGGTGGCTTCTCCAATTTGGGCCACAAACCCCGCAACCCATCTTCCCTGCTCATCCCGAATAACTCCTCCAGCACCTGCCAAGCCTGGGTTGCCCGCCGAAGCCCCGTCAATGTTAAGCTTCCGCCATCCCGGAGTTGGCGCACTCCAGCCAATATTGGCCACAACTCTATCGGCCGCAGGAAGGGGGTTCCGCAGATCCGCAGTGCTATCCGATTTCCACGCACTGTGCCAGAGAGATGCTTTGTGCATGATCGCATGCGCCAGAGACGGGGCGGTGAGCGCTCCTGCCGTCCCATGGAAGCACATCTGACACCTGTTCTTCCAAATAAGCCAGATAGCAACTGCAAAAAAATCACACCACGCCATACCAGAGGGAAGCAAGTCATCATTGAGAACATTCTTGGATATCCACTCCTCCAGGCTGGCAGAAAAGAAGCTCCCCTGGTCAGCTTCCGGGACTTGATTGTTCCAAAAAAAGAAGGCAGGCGGGCAATCCCGGAGAGCGTGCAGGATGGTTTCCGGCACTCCTTCACACCTGCTGCACGCCGGCGAGGGAGCACACTTCCTGAAATATCGCAGCCCATTAGTCGCAATACGCCCCAGCGTAACTAGCCAAGTGAAGACCCGAATGCGCTCCGGAAGCTGCAGCCGCCACACTTTCCGCCAGAGCCTCTCATTCTGGTTTGATCTGTCAGCAAAGGCCATCAGGTACGCTGACTTAGCCGTAAACCTGCCACTGGGAGAGGCCGTCCAGAACAAAGTATCCGGGCAAGACGAGAGGGGATCCACCGCCATCGCTGTGATTTTGTGAATGATCTCCGTGGGCAGCCATGGTTCCAAGCGAGCAACGTCCCAATGGCCATCCGCGTCCACGTAGTCTGCCACCATTTCTCCGAGTTTGACCGTCGGAATGGGTTGGAGCGCGATCGTCTTGAGGGGAACCTGCAAAACCCACAAGTCCTGCCAGAAATTAGTTTTCCTTCCATTATGAATATTCCACGCCACTCCTTTTCTTAGGAGATCAGAAGCTTTATTAAAACTTCTCCAAGCAAAGGAACTTCCCTGACTAGGCCGGAAGATGGCCATGCCTTCACGCTGTTTCCCATACTTCTCCCTCATTAGTTGAGTCCACAAGCAATCCCTCTCAGTCAGAAGTCGCCATCCGCCTTTAGCTAGGAGAGCGAGGTTGGCTTGCCTCAAGGTTTGTAGGCCTGCTCCACCCAGCCATTTCGGCTCCTGCAGCTTCTCCCACGCCACTAGATGCATCCTCCCCTGCCCCTCCTCATCTCCCCACGCAAAATCCCTGTTCACCTTATCAATAGAATTGCACACATTCATAGGAATAAGCTCAGAATGCATAGGATAGGTGGGAATCGCCGAGGAAACCGAGCGAATTACTGTCAGCCTGGCTGCCATAGACAGTCGCCTAGCTTTCCAGGGAGCCAACTTCTTCTTGATCCTAAGAACTAGGTCCTGATACCGCATCTTCGTGACCCTGTCGTGAATGGTTCGGATCCCCAGATACCGGCCAAGGTCCTTCGTGAGAGGGATGCCCGCCCTGTCACTCAAACGTTGCGCTCTGTCTTGATGGACATTGGGCGAAACAAACATGGAGGATTTAGCAAAACTAACCCGCTGCCCTGAGCTCTCACAGAAGTCCTCCAGGCATCTTTTAATCACCTGCACCTGTGCACCCTCTGCCTCTGCAAAAAGCATAAGATCATCGGCAAAAAACAGATGGGTTAGAGCAGGGCCGTTTGGTGATAACTTAATTGGTTTCCAGAGTTTGTCCCGAACGGCCTGGTCAATTCTATGAGAAAGACGTTCAATGCAAAGGACAAAAAGATACGGAGAGAGAGGATCTCCCTGTCGAACTCCACGGGTAGGCGTGATAGGCGGCAAAAGCTCCCCATTCCACAGAATTCGCATTCTGTTCTGCTCCACGCAGTACATGATGCACCGAATCCAAGAGCTAGGAAGGCCAATCTCGCACAGCGTGTCGCGAATGAAATCCCACCGGAGTCTGTCATATGCCTTCTCCAAGTCAATTTTCACGACCAGTCCGCCTTTCTTCCCCTTTTTTCTTTCTGAGAGAGTGCAGTACCTCCTGCACCACCAAGATATTATCCGTTGTTTGTCGCCCCGGAATAAAACTGCTCTGGCGAGGAGAAACGAGCTTCCTCATGATCGGCTTCAATCTGCTTGTCATTGCCTTAGTAATGGCTTTCAGGCAGACGTTGTTTAAAGAAATGGGGCGGAGCTGGCTAACAGTTTCAGGATTCTCCACCTTCGGGATGAGCACCATCGTTGAAGAGGTAACCTCCTCTGGGAGAACCCCACCCTCAAAGAAAGAGATAGCCATATCTGTCAAGCTTTTTCCAACTACATTCCACGCCTTCTGATAGAACACTGCCTGAAAGCCGTCCGGACCTGGAGCCTGGAGTGGCTTCATATCAAAAATCGCCTTGTGAATATCCATGGTTGTGAAAGGGCGGAGAAGGCACATCCAATCCTCCTGGTTGAGCCGAGGGAACATCTCCTTAGGCATCCGATCAGCATACATTCCTCCATCCTGCATATACAGCTCAACATAAAAGTCGAACACCATCGTTTTGAGCTCCAACACATCCTGCACCCATTCTCCATTGGCATTCTTCAGAGACGCAATTTTATTGGCTCGTCTCCGAATGTTGGCCATTTGATGGAAGTAAGCAGTGTTCCGCTCCCCAAACTTAACCCAGTTCTCTCGAGCCCGTTGGAACCACAGGAGCTCCTCCTGCTCCAGAGTCAGGTCTAACTCGGCCTCCAGCTTGGAATGTAGCTTAGCAAGACCCGGGTTGAAGGCAGTAGCCAGGCGCCGTTCAACACCCGCAATCCTTGCTATCAGCCTCTTCTTTCGTTGGTGCACATTACCAAAGACAGATTTGTTCCAGTCTTGCAGCTTCCCTGTGACCTCCTGAAGGGCTTGAGAAAGATTCACCTGCGCATTCCAAGAAGTAGTCAAGAACTCCTTGAAATTACTATGAGTCAACCAAGCAGCTTCAAATTTGAATCTTTTAGGAGCATGAGCAGGGACAACCTGGGGGGACACAGTAGTAAGGATCGGGTGGTGATCAGAGCTTATGCGGGGGAGGTGCGTTACTGAAGTGTTCGGAAAGGTCTCATTCCACCCCAAATTGCACAGACTCCGATCCAGGCGACTAGCTTTATAAGTATCAGCTTGGTTCCCTCTGGTCCACGTGAAAATTGGCCCGGAGAAGCCGAGGTCAATTAATTCCGCCTGATTGATCCAGTCACTAAATCTTTTGCACCGGCGGAAAGTGGCAGCGGTGGCAGTTCCGTATCTTTCTTCAGGCGTGAGGATGGCATTAAAGTCGCCGGTCAGCAGCCAAGGACACTTGATGTTCGAACTTTGCTCGATGATGGAATTCCAGAGCAGCTTTTGCTCTTGCTGACGAGGGGACGCGTAGATCGCAGTCAAACACCAGGTGGGCATCGAGGTTTTAGCAATCTTAAGCGAGAGGTGTTGAGGGCCAGTGGAATACACCTCAGCCGAAACACTGCTGCCATTCCAAAAGACCCAAATTCCCCCGCTTCTTCCAACTGCTTCTACCCTCGCAACATCCGGAAATCCCAGCTTCTCGCATACCTTGTTGGCGGCGACACCACTCACCTGCGGTTCCAATAAGACAACAAAATCAGGTCTGTGAAGCTGGAGAGCAAGTCTCAAGGATCGGGAAAACGACCTGCCTCCAGCCCCACCCACATTCCAAGCAAAAATTTTAAAACAATCCAAACTAAGAACAGACATAGACATTAAAAACAGCAAAACAGAAAGAGGGGAGAGAGGAGAAAAAGCCGCTCAAGCAGTGCGGGAAGGGTCGGCTGGAAGGTTCGCCCCGCCGTCTCCTCTTGAATCAACCCCCTCCGATGTCCGGGTCGCGCCCCCAAGCTTCTCAGCTGTCACCGCCGATGTCCACGCAGCAATTTGTTCAAGCGTCACCGACACCCGTCTCTCTCTCGACTTGACCTTCTTATCCTTCTTCGGAGTCCAAATCTGGAGGGATTTCGAGGGATTATGCTTGATAGGAGTGCCCTTCTTAGACTGTGCTTGCATCCCCCTTCCCTTTCCCCCATCTTTGTTCCTCCGCTGCTTAGTGCGCGCCACCGACGACGGGGTCGAAACTCCATTTTCTCGAGCTGGTGAAACGTAATCCGCAGCCTCAATAATGCGCATAGTGGTCCCATTAGCGCCTTTGACAATGCGGGCCGGGCTGTTGAGAGTCTTGCTCTCTGAAGGGCTCGAATGGGTGGCCTTTTCATCGTTACTTAAAAGGGGAAGCAGGCTTTTGCTGGCTGAAGTGGAGGCACCAATAGAGCCCAAAGAAGGCCCAGGACGCGGGCCCAAGATGCCTTCTCCCTGGCCGCTACTGCTGGGTATCGCAATACCCTTCCCTTTCTTTAATTCCCCATTCGCTTTTCCTTTTTTAGAACCTCCACCCTCTTTCCCGTTCTCTCTCGTACTCTTCCCCTGCGATTTGGGTGGCTCCGGCTGACGCAATTGAGAATCCGAAGAAGGTAAGTCATTCAAGCTCTTGTTCTCTAGTTTCCCCAAATGCCCCAAATCTGGGCCGTTGCCAACGGTATTCTCCACCCCTGCCTTTCCTTTGTTAGGCGAAGCCCTCTGATTGCGCCGAGATTTTCTCGCGACTACCATCCAAGGACCGAACCCGCCGTTAGGCTCCCGCTCGTCAGTTTTGTCGCCGGCGCTCAGCTCTCCTCCGGCACCCGGGAAGTTTATGGTCGGAATGGTAGGACGAAGACTGGGGCAGGAGGTCTGGGCATGTCCGATCCTTCCGCACTCGAAACAGACCACCGGAACATTTTCGTACTCGACTGGCTGCCATTTTCCATCGAGACGAATTCGAGGAACAAGGGGTCTGGACAAATCCACTTCCACCGCAATCCTAGCAAATTTCGTCCGTTGTTGGTGCAGTGTGTGGTAATCCAATTTGATAGCTCTGCCAATCATGTTCCCCATCGAGAACAGAATTTCTTTATGATAAAAGTGCACAGGGAAGCCTGGAAATTGCACCCAGACCACCATCGATTTTGGAAGTTGATCCGAGACTCTGAACGAGGGAGTCCACTGTTGGACCAAGAGGTAATGATCAAAAATTACCCATGGTCCTTCCGTCAGCGCCTTAAAATAGTCCTGGTCACTCCCAAGCTTAACCAGGAAGCAGTCATCATCCAGCGCGTGCACCTCCCAAGCACTTGTTGGCCGCCAGAGAGCCCGGAGTCTGTTACATAGCGTTGTATATCCTATTGATCGGCCAAGCAGCCGGATAACAAGAGTACGTTGCCATGGCGCACTCAGACGGCTCCGGAAGTTATCCGAGATCTTAATTTCTGGTTCGCCATTGAAACTCCCAGTGACGAGATCACTCTCCCCAACCGGGGATCCATTTCGAGGTGGATGTCTGAGTTAGGCCACCCGGCCCGGCTACCACGCCCGCGTACGAGATCATAGATAGGCCAGCAGGCTTGTCCCCTCCAGTCTCCCCCGATGTTGCCGTCGGTATCTTTGTGCCATCTATGACCTTGTTCGCCTCGCCGGCGCTTTCGTCAATAAGCATCAGGTTCACAGAAGTCTCTGCCGAAGGGGTGGCCTCCAGCTCAATGATCGTCGTCGGCGTGGGTGAAGTCAGGTCCGGCGGCTGCGGATCATCTGGTGGACGTCCAGTCGGCGTCGTTCCTTCCGGCGGAGCCGCTTCCGATACAGAGGTCATACAGAGCATTTTTTATTCTTTGGTCGCACTGAGGACCGATTTGGTGTAGCCATTTGTATTTTAAATTAAATACTTAAGAGTGGAAGCTAATAAATTTAATGAAACGATTATCAGCGTGTCATCCTTATCAATAAGAGTTACGATGCTAGTTTTAATGTTGCTAGGCAAATATTACCTCAGTTCTCCATCTCCCTCATCACTTCATCTTTCATCGGCCACATTGATCCTCTTCATCTCGCTGCCGCCTCCCTTTTTCTAACCTTCGTAGAAAACGTTTGCTCTCGGTTTCATGGTTGCCGCCTAATCATCCAGATTGAACTCAACTGCATCACTCGTCTATCGTCGAATCATCCCTCTTCTGTAATTTCGTGTGCTTGGTTTTTGCAGTTGGGTATTGGGAGTGCTTCCGATACCCTATCGGACCAAGCTGCTGGCACGGGAAACTGCAGATATAGGCAATCTACCTACAAAAACTTGGCTACTTTCCCTGGCCACAGCTCTGCTTCTAACCCCATTTTACTTTCTGCATCAACCTCAAACTGATCATTTACGTCTGCTGGCCATCCACTATCTTGATAGTGACAGCTTGGAGACATGGTATCGGGCAATGGTGGTAGTGATTTGTGGGGTGGCTAGAGGAGCATGAAATTGCAGTTGCTGCAACTTCCGTATGGCAACAACATACATCCAACAACAATCATCTTTCATGTCCTGCTATTACTACGATCGATCCTGTTTCTAAAGTTCAATGTTGATGGAAGAACAGAAGAAAGTGATCAATCTCTTAGTATATTGCAGTTCATGCGACAGCAAATGGATTGGATAACACGCCACATCTACGTTAGAAAGGCTCGTACAATAACAAATCATGTTAGAACAAACGGTAGTTGCTCCTCCTACCTACACATTCTGCTTCATTAAATAACACAAAAACATTGCCATGGGACGCTATAACGACAAGGTCGTGCATACATGGACAATCAAAGCTTTTGAGTATACTCCAAACTACAATTACGCTTTCAATTTGCTCTGTAACTACTGGCTATGGAGTCTTGCTAACCTGAAGAAGGCTTCTCCATGAACACGTCCATCTCCTGAAGTAGAGGATCAAAACGGTGATGCTATGTTTGAGGTCTCGAATCATTCTGCAACAGGGGAATAGAAGTAAGATTAAGAAGCATGTACTAGGACGAGTACACATGGAAGGATGGTTAAGGAGAATTGTAACAAACATACCCTGCTGAACCCTCTGTAGCAACTTCTCTGCCATAATTTTCTGTTGCACCTTAGTCAAAGACTCTGACTTCATGATAGCATTCCCAACAACAATGACGATCGATGGAGAACCGGCATTGACCTGTGTATAAAAAAGTTGCACCTTAGTCAAATACCCCGTGCTTTACGATAAAGTAACTGAATCTTTAGCAAGAAGGTTGCCATAGAGACAGGCTCATATTTATGTCCAAACTCAGTCCCACACATTTACACTATAGTAACAAAAAGTATGCAGCAAAAGAACATTACCCAAACTCTGCCATTTAACCCAACTGCTATCTCAAAGGGGAGCTTCTTTCCAAGAGTTTCCAGGACTGGGCATGTTGGGGAACTTAATAACCTAGCAAATCAAATGATAACGATTATGATGGTAAATAAGAAAATTGGAAGTGAAAAATCAATCATCCTTTTGGCTTGAAACTGTAAGATTCATATTTTAGAAAGTTAAACATAACGATATCTCACATTCTGGAGAGACCAGTCGAACACTCAAACATTAAGCCTTCTTTGAGAGCTCCATATTGTGCTGCCTTCCCTGTGGCTGAGTATCAGAAACAATGTACTTAGAAGAGTCAAACCAACCACGAATACAGCATATGAAAAGGGAAATGAAGGAATAAAAAATAAAACGAAGAAGCTTTTCACTCACCATCAACACATGACAGCTCTGGATTCATTCCAGGATTTGCCTTCACTACTCGAACATAAATCAAAGTACCTGCCTGTGGAAAACAGAATTCGCCAAATAAAGAGCAGTTAAGGAGTCCAAACGTGATAAAGGAAAAACACTTTTTAATCAGAACCAGCGAATTATTCCAAAAGCTTTTGAATTTCTTACAGCAAGAACGATGGAGGAAAGGAAATAAACATCAATCTAGAACCACTGCATTCTGTCCAATCCTCAATTAGCTAAATTCTTAGCACAAATCAAAACTTGAACTCCAGCCAGATGTTCGAAGATTAAGGTTTTTGAAGATTGAGGGCACTACTCTCGAACAGAAAATGCCCCTTGTAAATATTGACTGCACCTAAGTTGTAAACACAATGGAAACTATACCTCAAACCTGGGTATGTTCCTCCGAGTCCCTCCTTCAAATGCAAGCACGGGCAAAAATGCCACAGAAGGTCCTTTTATGTCCACAAGAAAGTTCTGCAAAACATGTTTGGAAAGTGAGCCCTATGTGTATACCTATCCCCTGAGGATTTCATAAACAAAGGTTATTTGGCAAAATATGAAATCGGAAAAGAGAGTCTAGTGGCACCAACTTCTAATAGAAGATGATGAAAGGTTCTTACATCTGGTTTACAGTCCACCACTATTCCAAGTACAGAGTCCTCAGCGCAAGGCACATACTGCATGAACAATAATATAAGTAGTCATTGTATAGACCATGGTACTAGCAACAAATCTAAATAGTTCCAGATAAAATTTTCACTTCCACTCTAAACGATGGTAGTAAAAGGAACGCGAGAAACGAATCGAAGAAAAGAAGCTAAAGGATTCGAAGAAAAAAAGCTAAAGGATTATGAGACCACACCCACCCTTTTCTGAGAGCTTTCAACCCAATACTTATTTGGTTTTGAGAACCTCAGTATCCCAGCTTTGATAACTGATATTGCATCACAATCCTGCCAAATTTCGCCAACACATTCACCTTCCATCAGATTGAAAATAATATCATTCCTTTCCCATAAAGTAAAAAAATCTATATCACCCTTACAAAAAAATTACAGCTCAGTTTCTTTTCAGTGTTTCTGACTTGTTAAGTTATTCTAGCAAAGACTTCAGCACCAACTCAAACCGCAAGATAAGAAGCACATTCGTATTTTACTCATGAAACAGAGAAACTAAGATTGCCCTACCTGGCGGAGGCCGCCGCCGAGCTTTATAGTCTGTTCAGCCATGGTAGAGAGATCAAGAATCACATCACCCGGAACCTAAATACCACAAAAGAAAGGTCTCCCAAATCAAACCTAGAAACACCCAAATCATATAGAACAGAAATCAAATGAACTCACCACTAATTGATCGACGAACTTCGCCGGCGAGCCGTTGGAGGGTTTGGTTTCCATTGAGCACTACGCTGGTGCTAGCTAAAGAGAGAGAATCGATAGGGAAAAGCGAAAGTGCGGAAAGGCGCTAACTTTATATTCCGCCTAATACACAACGTTTAGACGGTTTCGGTTTTTTCTCCCCGGGCCGGGTTAGCTCCGAATTTAACCCGTCCGTTTTAGGGCATTGCTAGGGCCGCATTGCAGCCAAGTCCTCTACTTTGAAGAGTCAACGATCAGGATGATTTCGGAATTCGGAGCTTTCGGAGCTTGCAAGTTTTGAAGCTGAGGGGAGAAAGATGAGTACTTTGAACTCCTTCCGGTCACAATGGCTACAGTTTCAAGGTTACCAAGCGGATCAACCATACCGGCCGGTGGCGCAATGCAGATACCTGGATCCTTGCAGCCCTAACCTTGTCCCTCTTAACACCAAATTGCATTCAGTTTCTGTGAAGAATCGCGATTCGTTGCGTATCTCCGGGAGCCCGCCTCAAGGTTCTGTTGGATTTAGGGGGAAAGAAGACGTATTGGTAGATGTTACCATGGCGAATAGCTTGATTAAGAATTACGCGGATGACGGGATGTTTGTCGATGCCATCAGAGTGTATCTGGATTTGCTTGAAAGTGGGTTCCCAGTTCAGGAGTTTCAGTTCTTCCCCTGTTTGATCAAGGCGTTTGGTGGGCTGGGTAGTGTTGAGAAAGGGGAGGAAATTCACGGGCATTTGTTGAAGTTTGGATTCTTGGAGGATACTTATGTTAGTAATTCGCTGTTGGGGATGTATTGGAAATGTGGGGCGGTCGAGCATGCAGATAAAATGTTTGATGAAATGCCGCAACGGGATGCCATTTCCTGGAATACGATGATATCCGGGTTTTCTCGCTTAGGATACTACACGGAATCCTTGACTCTTCTCGCCAGAATGATTGGAGATTATGGTGCTGTGTTCGAGAACAGGGTAGCTTGTCTTTCTGCTTTGTCATCGTGTGCTTCCACGCAATCCTTGACACACGGGAGAGCTATTCATGGATGCATTGTGAAGAACAAGTTTGATTCAGATGAATACTTGGTTAGTGGTTTGATTGATATGTATATGAAATGTGGGGACGTAAAGAATGCTGAACGTGTTCTCATTAGAATTCTTGACGACAATATTGTGAGAGGAAACAAAGTGATCTGGAATGTGATGATCACTGGATATGTTTCAAATGAATGTCCCTCTCTCGCATTGAGTTTATTCCTTGAAATGCTTGAATCTGGTATTGGTCCTGATTCCTCAACAGTGGTTGCTGTTTTAGTTTTGTGTTCTCAGTTGTTAGATATAGCACTTGGAAAGCAAATTCATGGACTTGTTGTTAGCCTTGCACTGGAAAACGATGTCAGAGTTCAAACCGCCCTCATCGAGATGTATTTCAATTGTTCATCCTCTGAAACTGGCTTGAAGATATTTAGGCAGTCTCCAAACAAGAATCTTATTATGTGGGGCTCTGTGATCTCAAACTGCGCTCAGAATGGCTATCCAAATGAGTCCTTGCAGTTGTTTGAAGACTTCATGATACTAAACGGCTTTCCAGATTTAGTCATCCTTTTGGCAGCATTGAGGGCTTGCTCATCCCTGGCATTGAAGCGTAGTGGGGTGGAACTCCATGGCATGGCAGTAAAACTGGGGTTGACATTGGATGCTTTTGTAGGTGGTGCACTGGTTGATCTCTATGGGAAATGCGGAGACATGAATTCAGCTGAAAAAGTCTTCGACGGATTAGACACCAAGGATTTGGTGTCATGGAATGCTCTAATTTCTGGCTTTGCTCAAAATGAATATCCAGAGAAAGCTCTTAAGGCATTCCGTGATATGCAGAGTCGGCATTTAGAACCAAACTCTGTGACGGTTGCATGCATTCTGTCTGTCTGCATGCACCTTGCAGTTATGATCCTCTGCAAGCAGGTTCACTGCTATATACTGCGACATGGGTTTCTGATCAACAATATTCTCATCGGCAATTCCTTGATTAGTGCATATGCCAAATGTGGCATTATGAGTGACTCATTGACAATATTTAACCAAATGTCTGATAGAAATGAGGTGACGTGGAATTCTATCATACTGGGTTTTGGGATGCATGGAAGAAGACAGGAAATGTTTCAGATGTTCGAAAGAATGAAAGAGACAACAGAGGTAAAGGCTGAACATGCTACTTTCACTGCTCTCCTCTCTGCCTGCAGTCATGGAGGAGAAGTTGCAATGGGGTGGAAGTACTTCAACAGCATGACTCAGGACTATAACCTGGAGCCTAGAGTTGAGCATTACACTTGCATGGTTGATCTTTTAGGTCGAGCTGGAAATCTTAATCAGGCATATGATCTAATCAAGGAAATGCCTTGTTCACCAGATGATCGAATTTGGGGTTCGCTTCTTGGATCTTGTAAAAATCATGGCAATGTTGGGTTAGCAAGAGTTGTGGCAAGTCACATCTTTGAGCTTGATCCTACAAGTATTGGATACCGAACACTGCTTTCTAATCTGTACGAAGAATCTGGGAGATGGAATGAAGTTAGTCAGGTGAGAACAGAGATTAGAGATACAGGAGTTAGAAAACAGCCCGGGTGCAGCTGGATAGAAGTTGATAATAACATTCATACGTTTACGGCTGCTGATTGCTCCCACCCTCTGTGTGAGGAGATCTATGCTACTCTTGAGAGTTTGAGTGTAGAGATCAAAGAGGAAGGGTATGTTCCTCTTTCACAATCAACAGCTGTAGGTTCTCATACGAAGGATTGAGATGTTTTGCTAATATTAGGTGCTAGGATGATGGGCTGTTGTCATCAAACGTCACTAGCTAGTGGCTTCTACTTGTGAGGGCAGCAGATTGGATTTAGAGGCAGATCTTGGAACTTTTGTAATTGAACAAAGCCTGATCAACAAACTAGATGTAAGTGTGTTTATGCCATTAACTGCCATCTCTGATTCTCGCTCGGTCTTTATCTCTTTAAGTGACTATTTACCTTTTTCAACTTTATTTCAATTTTCAGGCAAACTTATGTGGGAAATGGAATGAAAACAATCTGCTGAGAATGCAACAATTGAAGCTTTCATCCCGGATCCAAATACGCTAAAGGTCGGTGGTCTTATCTGGGGAGGGAGATAGATGAAATGCAGTACACATAAGAGCAAGTGTTTGTATTACATGACTTTCTTATCACTGAATCCTACATTGCTTGGATAAGTAAGTAGGTATGGTGCTTGGATAAGTAAGTAGGTATGGTGCTTGGATAATGTTTTGGACTATGATACACCGACAAAGTTGGCGCAAACTGTTTTATGTCATGTCGAAAAAACTTAAACTCGTACCATCCACTTGCAGTGCGTGGCTGCTAGAAATTCACAACGAGAATCGAGGGCCAAGGTTAGCCATTATCGTGAAGCTTACCAAAGGACGGGAACTTCTAGCTGCTTTTGGTACGTACCTCTAATCTAACTTTTGAAACGCATGACCTCTGTCGAAAAACGTGACAGGAAAATCTATCTCGTGGTTCAGCATTATCGGTGTAGCCTGGATTCGTATGATGCTGAACAATTGCAGCAGATGTAAAGGTCTGTTCTGTTGATTATTCTGATCTGTTTGTTCCCATGTGCTTTGGCGAAGGTTATTATTGCAAGTACTCTGGACAGCAACAATGGATGGCAGGCAGCCTGGCAGCAAACCTCTAAAGACATGGAGGGCAAGGCTGCCCACAACAAAAGAGGAGCTTGAAGAAGGCATCCAACCTGTTTCAGGACACTAAAGTTATCTTCAGAATTTGTTGCAGTACTGGCAGCCCCCACCCACGCTCCACCAATAAATGCCTTTTCTTTTTTCCCAGCAGAAGAGAAAGGCTGTCAAAGATGGTGTCTTTAAATAACTACTCAACCTACCCTTTCTCCAGAGGGTGGCCCCAAAGATCTACTCTTCGGTCCCAAACTAATATGCACCGCCACTTTCCTTACAAGTTCATTGGGGTTCAGTTGGCCGCCATTGTTAGGACAACTGATGATCATAACTGAAGCACCCCCTACAGCTCATTGAGTGAAAGCTCAGCTTTTGTAATGTGAAGGGAAAGTAAAGCAAAGCTGAGAGGCTGCCGACATCATTGTAAATTCGTGTACTCTGTTCATCACTTGGTTTAACTTTACAGGTAAGAGAATGTTCAGTATATAAAGATTGGCCAATTGATTCCCGACCAAGTGTCCTTTTGAGGTGGAATCAGATGTAATTTCACCAATCAAGTTAGTTTAAACTATTGAAGAAATCATTATGCAATAGGCAATAGAAAATTTACTTCATTGAAGAATCAAAATGAGTACATGCAATCACTTTAACTTTAGATCCAGATTTACATCAAATAATTTATACAGCAAGCAATTTAACTTATACAAAAGAGGAATCAACCCTTGATAAGTAACAAAAGAAGAAAGAGGTACAAGGAGCAATCATGCAAACAGAACTCCCCCTGCCTCTCTCTGGCTCAAGGGTAGAAAAACCAGATAAGAGACATTAAAAAAACAACAGATCCCAAAATCCAAACCATTTCTTCACTTCTTTTCAATCACTTTTCCTTCTTACATATTACATCCTATAGCTTTTGAAATCTCGTGTGCAGATCTTTTCTTTTTGTATATGACAACCCATCATTACACTACTGTAATCACATCTTTATTTGTTGTATTGTGAGAAGAAGTGTTTGCAGCATGGTTATCAAGAAGGTTCTCCAGAGACCTCGCTTTCCGGGTCCGAACTCTCCCTGCTTCCTTCAGTAACTCTCCCAACCTCTTCTTCTCATCAGCCACATCCGGATTCGCTGTCCCGAGCTTATCCTCCCGCACTTGCACAACGTACTCCAAGATCTTGATCGCGTCTTCCAGCCTGTCACAAAGTTAACATAAAACCTAAGCAAGTCATTGGACCAAACGGAAATAAAATTGGTGTGCATGTGAAAACCAAACACATTGTCATACCTCCCCATGGCATCATAGGTGCCAGCAAGATTGCTGTAGACACCAAGAGTGTCGGGATGCTCAGGTCCACATTCATGTTCCAAAACATCCTTAGCTTCCTCGAAAAGTTCTACAGCTTCGTTTATAGCAAACCGCTGAACACAAGCAAGACCCATCTGGTTCAGGGCAATCCCAAAGAAAGCAGACTTCCTCTCTCCGCTAGTCCTCAATTTGGCAACTGCACTCTTAAATGAATCATATGATTCCGAGTAACTCCCCATCATGTAGTAGATCACTCCCATTTGAGCCTCAATTCCAGCCATCGTGCTCTGTTGGCCGGGAGCATCACTGTATATCTTCAATGCTTTCTCCAGCAGCTTGATCGCCTGCTCGAGCTCGTTCATCGACTCATAAATGGCAGAAATGTCGGTCAAACCGGTCGCAATCTCCTCGGGAGGGATCCCTGGGGCAGGCTTCTCGTAAATACGTAAAGCATTCTCGCAGTATGATCTTGCTTCCTTCAGCTTCCCAGTCTTATTATACAAATCAGCCAATCTCACGAAAACCGACCCAACAGCAGGATGATTCTCTCCCTTCTTAGTCTTCAACGAAGTGAGAGCCTTCTGATATGCAAAGATTGCCTCATCATATCGAGTCAACGACAAGTAAGCATCGCCAATGCTGCAATCAACCCCAGCCACCTCCCCTTCCTGACCATTAGCCACCATTGCCATGCTGGCCAACACAAGATGCTCAAGAGCTGACTCATGATCTCCTTTCGTCTCACAGATCAGTCCCATCAGCCTTCGATCAGCTGCTTCCTCAAGGGAAGCTGGAGCTCCATTCTCCCGGTGAATGTCGAGCGCCAGCTGACATAGCTTCTGCGCCTCGTCAAACTGCAATGCCTGAACATGGGCCTCAGCTAAGTACCTGCAAGTTTCCCCAACTCGAGGATCATTCTCGCCCAAAACTTGCTTCTGGATGTCGAGCCCGGTGGAATAACACTTTGTGGAGTTCTCCAGCTGGCCCAGCATTGCATAAGTGTCACCCAATTGCATGTAACCGGCAAACTTGGCGAGAGCGTGTTCTTCTTGGTGGCCCTTTGTGATGGCTGGAATAATGTCGATGGACTGCTCGAGAAGTGGGATAGCTTCGTTGTACTGTCCCGTGCTGCAGTAGATTGCAGCTGCAACATGGAGCGACATGACCAATTCCAAGCTAGATTTGCCATTGGTGCAGGCTTCGAATGCTTTGACGGATCTAAGTGCTAAATCGAGTGCCTTCTGGGGGTTGTAGTTACTATTGTCCCCCGAAGAGACCAAATCCCTTGCTTGTTTCAGAAGAAACCGCCCAAGATCCGGATTATTATCCTGACCCGACTCAGAAGGTCCCTTGCTGGCGACGCCTACAGACTTATTCCTCTTCCTTAAAGCCATAGCAGGTACTGTTTTCTTCTTCTTCCCACTCTTTTTTTCCATCGGTGGTCTATCTAGAAGAGGTTTCTCCTTAGGGCTCAATGGTGACTCGGATGCCAAGTTACTAGTAGGGTTCTTGGAATCGCTAGATGAAACAGACTTCTTCTCGACTTCAGCAGATGAAGTCTCCTTATGAGGTGAAGAGTTATCTAACTCAGGTAGTTTAGTATTTACCTCTTCTTCTTCCTCCTCTTCTTCCATAATCTCGATCTCCTTCATCTCGCCCCCTACCAGATGGCGCAACTCCGAATCAATCCTGGATTCATCACCATCGGATCCGAAGCTGCGCCTTGAAGGTGATTGATCCGAGCTCTGCATATCACATACATTCTCATATAGCTGCTCAATTGAGGTATCAACTACCCTTTCATCATGAGCACCATCAATGACACTATCATGTGCAGCATTATTACCCTCTTCATGGACAGTGCTATCTACTATGCCTGTGGTGTGAGGGCTGGATCTACCACCACTGTTTGTAGGAGACTGGTTTGAAACTGGGGCTTCCTTGCCTGGAGCAAAGTTTCCATTCATTTCAGTGGCTACTACTTCAGCTTCTTCCTTAGCTCCTTCCATCACAATTCCAGGCATCTCAAATCACACTCTCCTTCCTAATAATGAGCAAATGCACACCAAGAAAGAAACCATTTCAGTTGAGGGAAAGCATTGTTGACAGCAGACTGCAGATCCAATCCAAAAGGAATGCATACCAAAATCCTGGGAAAAGGTCAAAACTAGGAAAGAACAAGCAGAAGTTACCAAAATAGCAAACAACGGAGTTCAACTAGATCACTTGCTTTATCGAAACAACAAAAGCTAATTACTTTTTATCCGTTGAGCTCATTTAATCATGCAATTGAAACTTTACCATGTTCGTCCACCAACCAAACAACGACACTCAAAGAAAAAGCACAGCAAACTGGATCCTTTCTCCATAATCATTCAAATGGAGGAAGACCCATACATTAAATCGGCCGGCCACCACGGCACCACCAACTCCGCAGAACATTAAATTGAAACCCCCCAAAGCGCTGAAGCTAATATAACCTTGACCCAGAAATAGAAACAGAAAAGAAAGCATAACGAAATGAAGAGACCATAAGAAATGGGAAAGAGGGATTCAGAAAGAATACCTTAAGAACCAGCAACCGCCATGGGAGAAGGACGAAAGAAGAAGAAATAAGATCCCCAAAATAGGTGACAGATAAACAAGAGGAGAGATGACGAGATGGTCAGCTCATGCGAAAGAGGCACCAAAAAGTTGCAGGCTTTCCATTCTTTTTTTAGGGTGGAGAAAAACGGTAGACAACAAGGAGGGTTTGGAGATGGATAAAACAGAAGATGATGAAAGGGAAAAGGAGGGTTTCCCTCTTGTCTGTAAATACAGAAAAGACTGACGCGAGGAAGAAGATAAAAAGAATGCGGGAAGACAGCACAGCAGGGATATTGAATTGAAGAGGTCAATTAACTAAAATACAATGGCCAAGAAAATGGGTAATCAATTTTTCTCCGAATAATATGAAGGGAAGAAAATGAAATGAAGAGAAGGGGCAAACTAGTTTTTATTGCAGCAGAGCAGAGGTGGAATGTCAGAGATGGATAGGTAGGAGAATGACATAATAAGAAGAAGAAGAATAAGAAAAAGGAAAAGGAAAAGAAAGCGACTTGTTTTTTCTTTTGTTGTTGGTCTTTGGCAAATGGCAATTCAGCGCGGGAGGAAGGAGAAGAAGAAGAAGCCGACGCGCGACCTTGCAACCGCAACTGCCGATTTGCTTTCTGTCCGTTTTCCGTTCCCCTTTCTTTTTCTTTTCTACCCTTTTTCCTTTTTTATTCCTTTTCGGTCTTACATATTAATCCTCTCGTAATTAATTTATAATAGTTATTAGTTGGTCCATATGTCAATTATTAATTAAATGTTCATCGTGTCTTTTTAATATTTCACGTTCACACGACAATTTATCAAATTTCTATGTATTTACTGTACTAATTTAATTTAATAGATGAAAAATATGTATTCACGCATGCAGTGGCGTAGCCAGGATTTTGAGTAAGGGGGTGCCAATTTAAAAAAATTAAAATGACTATCAATTTTTTATAGTGACCCACGACGGGTTTTCATATTTTGAAAAGTCTGTAAAATACATTCGTTTACTTCTTGAATAAGCATGTAATTATGAGGTTTTTTAATTTAATTTACTTATTATTTGTAAACGGTAAATTATATATATGCAATAGAATGTATTATTGTATCATGTAAGTAATTGTTGTTTAGTGGAAGATGTCAAAGCTAATAGTAAGGGGGTTCCATGTTCAAATCCTAACTATAGCATAAACTAATACCCCTATTTTTTAATGTTCTAGCCCCAAGGGTGTGCCGTGGCACACCCTTCTAACACTGTGTCTCCGCCCCTGCACGCATGTTTTAGTTTATGTATCCAAGATAACTATCCTATGTATTTTTGTAGATGGTCGAAATTCACGTTTGAAATTACTTGCACCTCTATATTTATTAATCATGCATTTTATATAATCCATTCAATATAAGATGACCTTATTACCATAAATAGTCCTTCTATAATATATAGCCGTTCTTCAGGAGATTTAGACCATTTCAAATTCCTTGCACTCTCCTTAATTGTAGCTAGGGGTAAATTTGTAAGTTCAACTTAGAACTTAAATATATTCTTACGAGAAAAAAATGTCATTACAAAGACTTGAACTCGAGTCCTTCAGATTGATAGTCAATATCCCTAACCAACTGGACTACAACAATGTTCATGTATTTTTTGAATTAAAGAGAGAAAATACTGAAAGATCTCAAAATCATAGGACTATCCACCGCAACAATCAATTATCGAATTAATTAATAACTGTAATTATTTACAAAGTGAATCATCATGATATACCTAGATTTATGAATCGACTAAGTGAGTTCCTCTAATCACACAATTCTTCACCAAGAATCAAATAATACATTTTGAGTTTATGTATGTCTTACAACTTTTACATTTATTAGGTTACATGCCTTTGTAGTTTGTAGGAATACAAGGATTGTTTACAAAAATGCTATACAAAATTTTATTTCAAAACATAAAATTTGACATTTGTGATCTATGGTTTTGTAACGAGACATTTTCAATGCTATAAGTGAATGACCAAAAATCATTGGCTAACAATTTCCCTAATGGTTGACAATTATAAACATAGAATTGAAAGACTAAATACCATTGACAAATGAGCCCATTATCATTGGCTAAATTTAACAAACAATGGTATGTGTATATACATTGGAAATTCTATGGTACGCTCAATGGATTGAGGGTTATTGCATCTCCTTAGTTAAATAATATTATCTAGACCTTAGATTAATCACGTAACTAAACCTTATATCATTGATTATGTTCTTAGTATATGTGATATTAGGGTTTAAGTTATATAGATTCAGGGTATATGATTTAATTATTTGAAACTTAATCTCCCTTTTCAAATTTCCTGCAATGAGAGGGAAATTAGGAAGGACATTTTTGTCCGGTTAAATACTAAGTTTTGAAACTCTTCCTAGGGGTGTACGTGGGTTGGTTCATTTAGGTTTAGATATTTTAATCACCTAACTCATATACCACGATTTTGAAAACACTAAATACAAACTCACCCAAATAATTTAGAATTTTAACGGTTTGTGTCCTCCATACCAAATGAACCAATTTACATGTCGCTTAACTAAGGACGATCTCATTGTCCAATCCCATCATTCTAATATCAATCCATAAAAGTAACGCATATTCGTGTTTGTTAACACATGTTTCACATTGTCATTATTGTGACCGGTAACTCCGCTGCAACTGATTCGGTATTGCGCATCATATGGCCTCCAAACTAATAAGCATACCGGGCCAGCAGTTTTATGATAAAACTCAAAGTGAAGATAACTCATCATCTGGTGAAATTTTGGCGCTTGCTGGTGTCCATTAATCTAATTGCAAGCATAATGATTGCTAAAATTAAGTTTTCACACAACACACTGGGAGTTGGGGGTGTAAACTTGGAGGAAAAGTTGATATTGGGTTTGGGAAGGGAAGTGGTGAGAGGAAGAAATTATGTTTGGATTTGGTAGCAGGTAAAGTTCATGGTTCGGTTTCTTTTCGTAAAATGCTTTGATTTATTTTAGTTAGAGGTATAATATCGTGGTGATGTGGGATCAAATGAACCAAAAATGAGCTTGGGGGATGGGAATTCCAACTTAGAAGGAGTGGATTAGATTTTGATAAACTCAAGTTCATGATTAACTGAAAGAATATTTAGATTTAGACTTTGTGGTATTGAGATGTTCATAGAGAGTTTAAAACTGATCCAAGGCCATGGATTGATAATGATATTGGTTAGTTGATTGTGATTTTGAGGAAGGTGTATAAAAAGTCATGGAAGTAGTTTGCAGCAAGTAAAGGCAATGAAGAGGCAGTTGGTCAGGGTAGTGATTGAACCAAGGAGGGTATTGAAAGACATAGAAGCAAAATCGGAGCAGTTGAAGAGAGAGAAGTGTTAGATGATCAGGATATTAATGAAAATTGAGGGGGTATTGAAGGACATGGAAGTGAACTGGATCAGGTGAAGGCAGAGAAGGAGGAGAAGAGCATATTGATGGAATTGAAGATTAGTGTTGGTTTTACAGGCTTATTAAAACCGCCCCAAGGAAGATGAGTTGGTTAATACAAGAAAAAGGATTTAGGAGTTGGAGATCAAGATGACAAGAAACTCAATTGATAGAGAAATTCAGGTTCATGGAGAGAAGGTCCATCAAAGTAGCATAAATGGAGTTGCAGAATGAGGATTAGAAATTGAATTTTGGTTTAAAACATATAAGTCGAGAGATTGAAGATGGAGGGATAAAATGTTGGTTGTACAACGGAGAGTGGAAACTATTAGATCTTTAGGTGTTATGGTTGTTGCAACTACTACAACCTATGTTTATGTTAAAACGAGGAATCATTGATTGATTTACTAAAGCTAAGGTCGATTCACTATTCAAACTACTGGAACCTGTAGATAAGGAGTGTCTAATTTTGTGCCTCATTACTTTGATCGAGTTTATTAGTATATTGGATGTAACTCTAATTTTGTCATTTGCTCTCAAGTTTTGATGGTCAACCCCAAACCACACTGGACGCAACACAGCTTTGATCAAGACCATATCGAATTAAATCTAATATGTCCTGGACCTTCATCCTACCAATCATACAAGTTCAAAAGGAAAATGTTATGATGGGACATTTCGAGCGAACTTCATCGGATCCCACCTGATCGAATGCACTTATGGTCCAGTGTTGAATTCTATGATTTGTTTCATTAATGGACCGTACTTCTAATGAATATAAACAATCAAATATGAACATGCGTAATGTTAATCGGCCAACGGGCCGAGTTATAAGCTAGTACTAAAAAATTACAAAAATCATACAATGTCTTAAAACTGCATCGACTCTTCAAAAGCTACTAGTTGCAATTAGAGAACATCAGAACAACACCAAAATTTTTGAGTACAACGAAGAAAGTTCAAGATGAACTTCTTCTAAACTTGAACGCAGTCAAACTTGGTCATTAGTAGCTTTGATAAAATTGGAAAATTATAAGCTTCGTAACATTTCAAGAAAACATAAACAGGCGTCAAGACGACAAATTTCTTTTTTTATGTCAATAAAGATTATTATTTTCAACAAAAGTTCAATTATAGCATCCATCTTTTAACAATAAGGAATTGATTTAACATTGTTGTTGAGGATATATAGGGGTTTTAAGATGGTAGATTTATATGGTGGAACGTAGGGTTTCCATTTGGACCATGGGTCATTTTCACCTAACAAAAATTGTTTTACCTTAAACTCAAGTTTGGAGATCTAAGGTGGCCACCACAATGTCGAAGAAGAATATTTCGCTTTAACCAAACACACTACAATCAATAAGACTACCACAATTGACCAAACACACAAAGGTTGTGAGCACAAACAAAAGGTTAATCTAATTAACCACCAACACTTGCAAGACCCACCCATCGAGCACGAACGAAGATCGGCCTTAGTGATCTATACGAATTAATTCATAGGGTTTCATCGCCATCCACTTTTCTAGTGCATTGTCACCCTGCATATTATGCCCTTATACGTATATTCGTAGTGAGAGTTGAAGACTATGAGTCAAAGTAGGGGTGGCTATACGGTCCGGTTAAATTGGAAAAAATTGATCCGGTCTCAGTTCGGTCTTTTCGGGAATAGAAGGACCAAAGATTGGATTGGATACAGTCCGGTCTTGACCCGGTCCGGTCCCAATTTTATCTTGATTTTAGGTGTTGGGGGTCTCTTATCCGGTCTTTATCCAGTTTTTTACCTCAAATCTAAGCCCGAATATGAGATTGCATTGTTTTCTATCTGGTCTGAGTCCGGTCCCGGTCTGGGTTATACGGTCCGGTCTCGGGTAAAACCAAACAGTCCGGGACCAAATAGCCAGCCCTAAGTCCGAGTCATATATTGGTGAACGGTGATGGTACAACCGTACAAGTTGGTATAGTGTGGTGCATATTTAGTGTGATGGAACGGTGTACAGTGCGTCGAAAAAGACTATCATTGATAAGAGCACGAAAAGAAATATTGATCGATAAATTTAAATAGATAGGAGATGTGTAACACTTGTTGGAAAGCAAAGCAAATTAGTTCTTTTGCTAAAAATAATTATTTGAGTTTCATTTGTGCAGTTAAAAGAAAATTTAGGATACAACTTACAAATTCCATTGAACCGTCTTTAGTTATAATTGCTTTTAGCATACATTTCTAGGCAAACGCTAGCATACGTATGATGTATGATATGAATGTGTGTCCATATCTATTATTTGTATTTTGATATATTTGGGCAAATTAGAATCGTAGAATTAATATTTTTTAAATTCAATAATATCATGCCTGAATTCTGATTAATTCATCACCTAAACAGCAAAACTCAATTGAACTACCATAGAGTTATCTTACGCCAACATACACTATCCTAAACCATATATTTTTCTTTTGTATTAAGGGTTTGTTCTTGCAAAGATATTCCGGTGAAGTGGCATTAAAAATGGAGGGGAATAAAGAAGAAGAAAATGCAAAGAGAACATGGACAGGTATTGTTGTGATGGAAAGATCATTGCCACTTCTTGAATATATATTAGATATGCTGTCGGTGGATTAATTATCACTAATTTGACTGTTTATTTTGTTATTTATTAGTCATCGCATTAACATTCGACAATGGAATTCCTCGCATCCATTATCTTTCCTCTCCCCACAATTCCCAAACGTGTTTTATGAAGTTTCGGTTCTGGTTTAATTAATTTTGTATTTGTCTATATTTTTTATTAATTTTGTATTCAATATTTTTCACTTAATTATATATAAACAAATCATATTAATTGTACTTATCAAATGACATTCACTTTGATTTTGATGGAAAGAGAAGAAAAGGGATATATTTGTATATCATAATCGAAATTTTTGGTTGAACATAAGATTATATCATGATAGTTGTAACATAATGTTATAAATAATCGTAATATATAATGATTGTCTATATGATAGTATAAATATATCGTAATGTACCATGACTATCTATATATATATGGTAGTAAAAATATATTAATCAAAGTTCAAGATGGCACCAGGCAGGCGTCAGCATTTGAAGAGATCATAACAATTTTACAACACTTTTTTACTTAAGCTCAATTTCAATAATTAATTCATAATTTAACTGACCTCAACTACAAGTAAAATATGCATGATTATCTAGAATGAAACAAACACAAGCATATAGCAATTAGAATCACAACTTTATAGAAAATTTGGAACACCAGGTTCACATAAATATGACATCAACAACAAGAGAGAAAGGGGAATGGGAGAGAAAGTTAAACTCTGTGAATGAATGAGTAGTGCAGATGATCCTGAGCTGACTGGAAGACAGGGAGAGGGTTGTCCAAAGAAGAGAATCACCAAAAAAACGCAGAAATTCTCCAGTGCCATTTTTCAGACGAGTAACGAGAGCTTCTGTACGCGTCGTCAAGCTGTCTGTTCTGATCAGACAAGAAGAACTAAGGACATTTGCAGTCGTGAGCCCTTCCAGCATATAGCTTTAGCTTCTGCTTCCAATGGAGTTGCACAACAAATTTCCCAGCTTTCCCATCTGTCACTTGTCCATGGCTATTAATAACGACAATGCCAAATGTCGTCTCCTGAGAATCAGTTAAAGAACGATCCATCACAGTGAATCTCAGGAGCGAGATTGCCTTGCGGCGGAGCAGGTTGAAGGTGGGTATCCGTGAGCTCAAGGGACATATTAAGATGAGCTGAATGCTGAAGGCAAGTGGACCATTGATCGAGGACCAACATGGCGTTAGAGCATGTCGAGGGCAGCCACGAATTGCTGCCTCGTAAGACCTTCCCGTAACGATTCACAGACAGGACACACTGATGAAGGAGAGCAGTGAGGTCTAAAGAGTCTGCCTCTAGTTGCAAGAGCCCCATTAGCACATCTCCAAACAAAAAAACTTATAGAACACGAAACCGTAAACGACCACGAAATGAGCTTCAATATGAGAATCAAATTACCGACTACACAATTAATAGAAGAGGCAACCAAATAGGACTTCTCACAATTATCTTCCCGATGATGAACAACTATTTTCATTCATCACAAGGAAAGGAGAAAACTCCAGCAAAAAAATGAGTTTATAGCCTGTGAACCAAGTCTGAATGTACATTAGACCAACCTATACACCAAACACAAAATAAAGGGATTTGTTCTGACAATCACAATAACAACAATGCTGATGTTAACTAGATAATTCCACATAACACATGCAGATTCTTCCAAGAAGATCAGATATGATTGTGTTTTGTAATCACTTTTACAGCACCTGTTCGAACAAGTTCAGACCTGATGAAACACTAATCACTTTGTACATCAGTTATTTATGTTCAACTAGAATTCTAGACCAAGTCCAGTTGGTGGGCACAGTCAACAGTCATTTACAGTTCTTCTGCTCTAAGAAAGTTCACAACAAGCAATAGGAAAAGATGGAAACAAACCAGTAATGGAGTAATGACCATCAACAAATCCTCCGCAGCAGTTCTCTTCGTGCGAATTCCAAATCCATGGGCAAAGCCGAGCGGCACAGGGGACATGTGTGGTGGAAACGCAGCCACTTCACGAGACAATCGTGATGGAACACGTGGCAACACGGCAGCCGTTTCACCGCCCCGGACGATCCGGCCAGGTCCTGCAAGCAAATCGCGCATCCGCGCTCCTCCGATCGAAATTCCCCCGCCTCCGCCGCCGCCACCGTCTCCAAACTCTCGATTGCGGACTCCGAAGCAGGGACTCGGAGCCCGCTCGACGACAGCGCCTCGACGTCCGCCTCGAATTTCACATCGACCGGCGGCGACGAACTCGAATCGCGCTCGCCGCAGGGGAGAACCGGATGCGGAGACGAAATCACGACGTTCACCGCCACCGGAAGCTCCGGCCGGAAGATGAAGCGCGAATCCCTAGGCACGCTCTCCACAATCACTCGAGCGATCCCTTCCACGATGTCCTTCGGCAATTCGAGCCTCGATTCCTCCACCAGCCGATTCACGAACTCCGTCGCGCGCTCCAATTGAGTGGACGATTGACGCGTACGCGGTGGCTTCTGATTTTCGTCGTCCGGTTCCTCCGACGGCGATCTGGCGGGAAGGATTTTCTCGAGAGGCAGGCGCGAGAACCAGGTGCGGCGGTTGACGAGGCAGTGATCCAGCGGCGCTGGTACTAGATTGAGCACGTCGAAGACGACGATCAACGAAACTGAGGAAGCGGAAGGAGGCGGCGGAGGTAGTGGCGTGACCGGCGACGGCGGCTGATCGTCTTCCGGCTGGATGTCGGAGCGGATGAGACCGTTCTCGTCTTCGAGAACGGGATAGGCTTTGTAGGCGTATCCGAAGCAGTTCTCCAGTGATTCGATCAATCGGGGATCGAAATATTCGAAGAAATCGGTCGACGCCATTGATGCTGTGTATTCTGATTTCACTGCTTCTTCCTCTGCTCTCTCTACATCGACAACGGGTGAGAAGAAATTGCGAAAGTGTGTTCGTTTCTGTCTACTTTCGAATCAGAGAGCACGATTTAATCTTTTCTACACTGGAAGCCCGTGGGCTGTTAGTGGGGGCCAAGATCAGGTGACTAAGAGGGGGGCCTTAGTCACATAACTAAGTGAATCTCAACCCTTTCATATCATTAAAATCTAATGGCTCAGATTAATCCACTTTAATGAAGGACAATGTAGTAATTTCATCTAAAATTTAATTTGTTTATTAAAATTAAAAAATAAAATTTGCTCGGCTGCTTCTCTCTACCTTCCGCGCGACGAGACTCTCCGCCGGTCCAACAATTGCGTGGGAATTTACCTCCGGCGATGGCGTGGGGATTTTCCCGATGGGGATTTTTCTTCGATGGTACCCGCGCCGCCGTTCCCAGGGGAGGAGTACCCGCCGTTCCCAGGGGAGGCTTGTGGGATTAATTGGGGAAACAAGAGAGAGAGAGCTGTTGGGATTTAATTTCCCCAAACAAGCAGCTACAGAGAGAGAGAGGGAGGGAGGGAGGGAGGGAGGGAGGAGGAGAGAGAGAGAGAGAGTTCTTGTCAACTTTTCCGGCGACGGCGGAGCAGTTTTCCGGTGACCAGAGACTGTGGTGGATGATTTTCCGGCAACAGTATTGAGTTCGTGATGTTTGTAATGTTTATATTACTATTTTGTATACATTGTAATGTTTGTAATGTTTGTAATGTTTGTTCGTCTGGTTTGTATACTTTATGTTATGATTTATACACTTTCTATTCATTGATTTGTATTTGTAACTTTTGTTATTCATGTTAGTATACTTTTATGTTATGATTTGTATACTTTGTATTCATTTGTTTGTAATACAAGTTTATCAATCTGTATTGTAAGTAGTGATATTCTGTACGTGTAGTATGCTTTGTACTGTTTGTAATGTTTGTAATGTTTGTTTGCAATGTTTGTAATGTTTGTTATTTTGTAATGTTTGTTGGTTTCTTTTGTATTGTTTGTAATGTTTGTTGGTTTCTTTTGTATTGTTTGTAATGTTTGTTATTTTTGTCCACATGTTTGTCATTTTTGTCAACCATGTTTGTAATGTTTTTTGCATCACAAATCAATACATATAAAGTATACAAATTATTAGTACTTACAATACAAAGCGAAACATACTAAGAATACAAGCAAAACATACTAAGAATACAAACTGTCAAAGAAAAACATACTAAGAGTACAAACTAATGTTACAAACTATACAAACCATACTGACATTTTGTACAAAAATACTAACAATACAAACTAATGTTACAAAACATACAAACTATACAAATCACAGAGAGAGAGAGAGAGAGAGAGAGCAGGAGAGAGAGAGAGAGAGAGAGAGAGAGAGAGTCAACTTTTCTGGCGACGGCGGAGCAGTTTTCCGGCGACCAGAGACGGTGGTGGATGATTTTCCGGCAACAGTATTGAGTTCGTGATGTTTGTAATGTTTATATTACTATTTTGTATACATTGTAATGTTTGTAATGTTTGTAATGTTTGTTTGTCTAGTTTGTATACTTTATGTTATGATTTATACACTTTCTATTCATTGATTTGTATTTGTAACTTTTGTTATTCAAGTTTGTATACTTTTATGTTATGATTTGTATACTTTGTATTCATTTGTTTGTAATACAAGTTTACCAATCTGTATTGTAAGTAGTGATATTTTGTACGTGTAGTATGCTTTGTACTGTTTGTAATGTTTGTTTGTAATGTTTGTAATGTTTGTTTGCAATGTTTGTAATGTTTGTTATTTTGTTATGTTTGTAATGTTTGTTGGTTTCTTTTGTATTGTTTGTAATGTTTGTTATTTTTGTCCACATGTTTGTCATTTTTGTCAACCATATTTGTAATGTTTTTTGCATCACAAATCAATACATATAAAGTATACAAATATTTAGTACTTACAATACAAAGCGAAACATACTAAGAATACAAGCAAAACATACTAAGAATACAAACTGTCAAAGAAAAACATACTAAGAGTACAAACTGTCAAAGAAAAACATACTAAGAGTACAAACTGTCAAAGAAAAACATACAAACCATACTGACATTTTGTACAAAAATACTAACAATACAAACTAATGTTACAAAACATACAAACCACTGTTCTTCCTTCAGATGACGATACGATGTCTCTCCACGCCGCCGCCGCTGCCGCCGCCGACGTCGCCGTCGACTCTCTCTACAGCCGTCGTTACCTCTCTCTCTCCATCACCGCGCCGCTTCTATCTCCTCCATCGTCGTCGAAGCTCTCTCCACCGCCTCTCTCTCCTCACCATCGTCTCTCTCTCCTCTGTTTTCCGACGAGTAGATCTACTTTCTCTCTCCAAGGCTGCCGCCTCTCTCTCCTCCAGCGTAGCGGCGTTCGCTAGAGAATCGCCTCGCAGATCGCCGAGAGACAATCGCTTGGCCTTCGTCGGGAAGAAATCGGCTCGCCGTTGCTGGAGAATCGCCTCGCCGTTCGCCGGAGAAGCCTCGCCGTTCGCCGTTGCTGGAGAAGCCTCGTCTCTCTCTCTGGACAATACAACGGGAAAGGAAGAGAGAATTGGAGAGGGGAAAAAGGAAAAAATAAATAAAATGGAAAACAGGATTTAATTATTTTTTTTAAATGCCAAAACTACCCCTCTGATTAATTATTAACCCTTCCTTCATCTGGACCATTAGATCTACCCATTCTAATCTAAGGGCTGAGGGGAGCTTAGCCATGTGACTAAGCACCCCCCCTAGTCACCAGATCCGGACTCCTGTTAGTGGGCTTCTGGCCCGGCCCTAATTTTTTTTTTTTTTGGCATTGATCCCCAAATTTTTTTTTATTTTGATATATGAATGGTGCAGAAAATTGGTATCCGTGGATAATGGGCCTTTTCGTGGCCATGAGCGCTGGCATTTGACGGATGGAAGTCTAACAACCTTCCCCATCGTCATCACGGCTCTCATCATTCCGCCATTGCCACCGTTACGTTCCCCACAGTAGCAGAGAAGCGCAGGATAGTCAGTCCTCCTCGGGATGAGAAAAAACTTCCGTTAGCATTCCCACCGATTCGTTAATAAATCACCACCTCTCTCAAATCGTTATTGTTTTGCGAACCTCCTGCCTCGCCCTTGGTTGGTAAGTTGCGCTTGCTGCTTCATCTTCTCCATTTCCTTTCTTTCAGCTCGTTGCTTGAATGAATTATGAGTACCTGAACGGCTCAGTTCCTGAATTCAGTCAAACGGAGGTTTGAGTAATGGCGGCTGAGTCCTCGTCTCCTCCCAATCCTCTCGCCGCCGGTGGAACTCCTCAGAATTCAGGTCCACTACCTCTCCGCCTATTTCTTGATCAGTATTCTTGACATCGTTACTCTTCTCCCATAATTGAACTCCTGGGATTGATTAGGATTGCTTAGTCTAGTCCAACAACGCTGACGGTTTCTGAGCCGTATGTTATGTGATATTACCATTTGATCGAGGGGAGTATTGATCGTAGATATTGAACCTGGAGTCGGATTTGAGATTGGTATGGAGCGTCCGTCTTCTGATTGCTACAACGAGATATTCTAGCTAGAAATTCGTTTGTTCTGTAGTTGTCCGTGAAGCTTATTAGCTCGTTTGATTGAGGGAAGGATCGGTGGCAGATATTGGACCTGAAATTGGAGTTGAGACGGACATGGAATCTGCTTCTTCTGGTGGCTACAATTAGATGTTTTAGCTAGGACTTCACTTACCTGTTGTATGTGATTGATGTTGAAGCTTCTTAGCTCATTTTACAGTGTTGATAATAATCAGAGGGTATGAATCCCGTTTTCTGCAGCTGTTACAAGGCTAACTATTGCTATCGTAGACAGAATGTAAGTTTGTCGAATCGTAGAATTTGGCTGTGAGTTTTCGCGGTTGTTTTAAAGGAAAATTTTTATTTGGTCTTTGAAACAGCCTACATTAGGCTTATAGGGTGCAAAGAGGAAGGAAGTGATTAAATTAGCATATGGGAGTCTGAATTGCTTGTAGTTGTAACATGTGGGGTTTGTGTTTACGATGTGAAGCCATAAAGGTTAATGTTTTTCTTGTTGCTCTTTCAAACTTCAGCTGCTGAAGCTGTGCAACCAGCAAATGGAGATAAGCAAGATGCCGCTCCACAAAATCCGAAGTCTGTCTTTGTGAATTCGGAACCAATACGAGAAGACCAAGTACAAAATGCCATAAAATTTCTTTCTCACCCGAAAGTTAGGGATTCTCCAGTTTTCCACAGAAGAAATTTTCTTGAGAAGAAGGGGCTAACTAAGGAAGAGATAGATGAAGCTTTTCGGCGTGTACCAGTAAGTGATTAAATATTTTCGTTATTGTGTTTCCGACCATGCATCTTTTCATTGTTCAGTGTATACATTTACCCTCCCGAGTGATGTATAAGTTGACTCTTCACTTTCTCCTGATATTTGTCTTCAAATTTGCAGGATCCGTCCCCAAGTGCTCAGCCAACTGCTACCAATCAGGGTAAAGTTATTTGGTATTAAAAGGAGATGTTAATTTGTTGTGGAAAAAAACATTTCTCTGATTTCACTGAGGTTGGTCATGTATTCTTGGATTATTGATGTTTTTGTTTATTCATGTCGGAAGCAGCAGGACAGGGAGTAACAACATCAACCATTCAGCCAGCAGCTGTTGCTCAAACCCCGCTGCCAATGACAACTGTTCCTAGTGGTGGGAGTCCCTCGATGGTCGCCTTGGCTCGGTCTCGATTTCATTGGTACCATGCTGTTTTTGCTGTTGGATTGCTCACAGCCTCTGGTATTGGAACGGCTATTTGGGTTAAGGTACCATAACATATTCTGATCTCTAGTGCACAATCGGGACAGTTCTAGTGCTTAGCACAAAGTTCCTGTCTCTATATTTGATGCTGGATTTTGTTTTGTTTTTTTTCATTGCAGCACTAACTTATCACCCTCTAGACTCCATATGTGTAACTTAAATGATTTTAAGAAGCTAATGAACAACTTATATGTTCTCTCAGAAGTCCATGATTCCCCGGCTAAAATCTTGGATACGGTGGGTGGTTCTGGAAGAGAAACATGGTGATGGGGACATAACAAATATAAAACCATCTGTGGCTGAAGAAGCTGCAGCAGCGGCAAAATCAGCTGCAGCTGCTGCGACTGATGTGGCAAAAGCAAGCCAGGAAATGATGATCTCAAGACGTGAAGGTAGGAAATATCCGTAGTGTGAGTTTATTTCCTTATAATAATGCTTCTGGACTCCTATTGATAAGCTATTTTATCTTCTTATTGTTAAACTAGTCTTCTGGCCTTTTCAGAGAAAGTAAACATGGAGAAGTTCATGGATTTGTTACAAATGCAAGTGACTGAAATTAGGTCAATGGGCAATGCCATACAACAACTGGAAGGTGATAATATGTTTGCTTCTTTAAGAAAGTAAATTCGATAGCTTTTGCTGTATGCTTTTTCTTAGGTGGTCCTCAGGAGCTCCTAGAGTCACGCATCACAAGGATTTTATAGATCCAATGACATTAGTTAAGATGGAATTTTATTTATTGACGAGGTTGCTAAGCTTTGAGCTTGATGTTTCAATTTATTTCCATCATATTGCATTACAAGCTAGATAGTTAATTTGCTTCAGTTGCTGTGGAGAACTGGTTGAACCTCATACCTTTATCTAAAGAATCATCCTTCTAAATCCTTGAGCTAGGCCTTGGTGGCACAAATAATAAGTGGATTGTAAAAGGTGGCAGATGCTGGTTCAACTCTTTTCCCTCCAGCAATAAACAGATTTTCCCCTCTGAAACTCTTGAGAGATTTCTCAGAGCATGGGTAGCTCATTCACATTCTTGTGCATTTTGTGTTTCAGGCCATAGCTTAATAGTGTGCCTTGACTAAGTATTAGGCAGGGCATGGGCTCCTGCATGATTAGTCTGTCTGCACTCAGTCTTACCTTTGCATGACCTGGTTTGCATCAGTTTGTAATCAGGCGATTGTTTATGCAAATATTGACATCTCAATTGTCAATTGTTCCTTCACTAGTTTATCTCATTCCAACTTTAATTGATTGGAGCACTGAAGCCTTTATAATAAGAATACCCATTTCAACGAGTTTTTTTTCTTCTTCTATTCCTTCTCTTATATCTACTCTTTATAATTATGGTCATTAGGGAGAAGTGACAAAATTGAAAGAACTCATCGGGTCGAACATGGAGGGTACAATGGTTCAATTGCAAACCTTAAGGTATCCAGGCTATAAAATGTGATTCATAATTGTCCTGGCATGAAAAACATTTGGGTTATAACTCGGGTTCAAGCTGTAACATTTTCTTGTCTTTGTATTTTCTTGCCAGCCAACATATCCAATGGGAAACAAACCAGAGATTGATTCCCGCTCAGGTTCTTATACTTGCAAACTATTGGTTCATTTTTGTTCCATTTTCCCCTCTTCACTTGGTAATTTGCTTGTTGTGTTTTCTATATTTTATGAACAGCAAGGTCTTCCTCACCACCAACTTCTGCAGATCAATCTGCCCCACCTTATCTCAATTCATACATGGAGGTAAGAAATACAACTTTGAAACTGTTAGTTGTTACTTTGGGACAAGATGAACCATAGTATAGAATATAAAGTACTATAATGCCATTGCTATCTAAGTATCTATTATGTTAACTGCAAATCTCTAGGTACTGTACTTCACTTGGGTTGGCAGTAAGTTAAACAGAACTTGGGCCATGAAATCTTGCATTTTCCATTGCTCTGACTTACTGCTTAGCACAGGGCCAAGTCCACTATTTAATCCACTTGTTTTATGATTGAATTCTATCACCTTAACTTTGACGAAAATTGATGAGAAACTACCGTACATGATTGGCTTTTTCTGATTTAGGCGGAAACCATTGCCTTTGAACTCAAAGCTTGATGACGCCCTAACCTTCTGTTGATTTTGTGTTTGCAATGATATCTGTGATGCATCTCCTTCCCCATTGATGCTCCAGTCAGCAACATGTTGATTTTCACCTTCCAAAAGCAATTGAGAAAAAAGAGAGAAAAATGATGTGTTCATGTGTAACAAAGACTTGAGCTGGCAAAAAAAAAGTTGCGTTGTTATGTTGCAGATAATGGCAATGGTTCGGTTCAAAGGGGAGAGAACCTCCAAACATCAGAGTATACTGCATATAGTTTACCATTTCAGGTAGTTTGCTTTATTGCATGTTTACGGTATTTGCTTGTTTTGTACTTTTACAGGATATGAATGATCAACCCCCCTATGCTAGCCAGCAAATTTCAAATCCTCGCTCGGCTCCCAGGTCTAAGGTATGTGCTATTGAGAACTTGATGCCATAACATCACCGATGTAAGATTCAGTAGTCAGGAAATCTCGCATTATCTAACTTAAATGTTTTGAGTAAGATTCAGTAGTCAGGAAATCTAGCCTTTTCTAACTTAAATGTTTACTGCTTGCTTATTCTGAGCAGCCTTGGGATGGTGGTTATCAAGCCACAACCACCTCAAGAGGAGGAGGATTTGGTTCTTCACTGAATGGGGACAGAGGTTCAGATTTCGGTGCACAGAACAACGGAGTGAGCTATCAGGCGGACACCCAGAACACCGTGCCCTGGTGGCAGAAGAAGAACCCGAGAATCACTGAGCTTGACTACGTCGAAGCCAAGCCAGGGTCCAACACCGTTGCACAGACCAACGAGCAGCCACCAATTCAGCGGACATGGGTGCCTCCTCAGCCTCCGCCAGTCGTAATGCCTGAAGCAGCAGAAGCCATTCGGCGACCAAAATCCAAGAAAGAGGCCGCAGAGCCTGTTCCCAATCAAGAAACGAGCGGAGGAGGATCATCGTCAGCTGCTGCTGCTGTTGAGGTCACGGACGAGTTGCAGAGGATAACCAAGATATCCGAGTCTGGAGGGGAAGTAGAGGAGACGACGGCGCACAGCGGAGGACAAGAAACGAACGGAGGATTGAAGTTGAGCGAGATTGAGGAAGAACCCGTACAGAGCTATTGAAAGAGGAAACGAATGAACTGATGTGGAAGAAGCTGCACTGGAAATCTATTTGTATACCCTGAGCTGGAGTTGTAGAACAACAGTAGGTGTCTTTTTTTAGCTCTAGGGGAACGAATAAGAAATATGTTTGTCAGCACTTGCTAAAGTAAAGGGAGCTTCTGCTCTGAGTATGGATTTAAATAACTCTACTTTGATACGTAATTGTGGGTGTCAGTTTCATGTTCTTTTGGTATGATGGATGTTGATACATATTTCCACCAAGAAGGCCAGCCAAATGAAAATTTGTTTAATTTGAAAGGTGGGAAAATGTCACTAATAATAGTCAGCTGGGCTATCAGTAGTGGGATGGACACTAGCTACAATGATCAATTTGGTTAAGCAAATTGAAATACAAAATTAAGAAAGAACGATTTTTAAAAGTTAAAGTCAAATTAATGAAATCGTAAAATAAATTGCATATGTTAAAGAAATGAAGTTTGCATATGACCGAATATCATGTGCTTTAACAAATGAGGATCGTGGGAATTCAAACACAAGATCTCTCAATTGTAAAAGGCTTTCGTACCATATTAAAAAACAATTGCGGCTAACGACTCGAATTATTCAAATGTTGAATAATAGAATGAATGAATAACCGTCCAAGTTTGAGCAGAGGCAGGATCTCCAAATTTGCAGCAGCCAAAGATACTCCTCGATCGCTCCCACCTAACCCTCTCGATCACTTTAACTTTGACTGTGGATTAAATTAATTAATCATATCACCTAATCGAAAATCACACCCTTTTTTGGACTGATGAATAGTTAGCAGCATACCACTTCTGACCGCTGCTGGCTGGTTGGCCCGCCGGCTGCCGCTGCCTCCCTTCCTTTCCTACTTCCCCTCTTATCTCCTTAATCTTATTATTATTATACTTGATTATTTGTGGATCTTAATCATAATCTTAGTATATACATAATCTTCTATCTATCTTCTATATCTATCTATCTATAAATAATATAAAGAGGTTTCTCGGGAAATTACTCCCCGCAACTTTCGGCATTTTTTATTATAATTTCTTTTTCTTCTGTTGTAGGCGGTTTAGCCTTTTTCCCGCCAAAAAATAGTAATTATCTTCATACCCAAAGTTTCTCATGTGTTATTAACCGAACCTTTTGAATGTGTTTAAATTTTTCCAACCAACGCACCCAAAAAAAAAAAAACATTTCCCAACCGAATTTCTATACCCGCTTGCAAGTTTTCTTTTCTTAAGTTTAAAATTTAAAAAAATTGAAAGGCTTTTAGATTTGCACCGTGTCCACACCAGCTTTCGTCAAATTACAGCGATCCACTTCAGCAACTAAAACCTTATCTTTCACAAAAAAAAAAAGGATTTTTTCTGAAATAGCACTACTTAAAAAAAAATTCAAATATAACACCCAACTCCGAAAAATTTCAAAAATAACACCCTTTCCCAAAAACCGCCACCCGTACCAGTACGGTTTGCAACCAAACCGCCACGACCCCATGCGGTTTGCTAAACCGCCACCTACCAGTGCGGTTTTCATCGAAAAACGCGCCTCAGGTGGCGGTTTTTGTCTAAACTGCTGGTACGGGTGGCGGTTTTGGCGAAAGGGTGATGTTTTTGGAATTTTTCGGAGTTGGGTGCTATTTTTGAATTTTTTTTAAACAGTGCTATTTCTGAAAAAAAAAAAAAAACCTTATCATGCTTCTTCTGCCTTCTAAAAATACCCTCATGTTGCTTCCGAACTATGCCTCCGATAACCACAATTGCGATGGTTTTTCCTTCTCTTTCTACCCGTTACTTCAAAAATTAACTCTTCTTTCTTCCCCGACTCTGCCTCCTTTCCCGATCGCCACACCATCATTCTCATCAAACACCATAAAGGAATTCCAGGGTCCTCATTCTCCCCAATTTGAAACAAGTCCCATCCACTTCACTTTGCGCTTTGCGAAACCTGTAACTATAACTGTTTTCCAATGCACCATTTGCCACCACGCAGAGCCCACCGGGAACTCGATCCCGAACCGACCACCAGACTGTCTCCACTCCATCACCTCCATCGTCTTTCCTCCCCCAAATGCCAATGGTGTTGCCAGCAAGTAATTTAATTTTTCCAGTTAATCATTCCTATTTTCGTTTGTTAGCAGGTCGGGGTGCCAATAGACAGGATAATTATGAAACCCAGTGATATGTCAATTGACATTGTTAATTAGATTAATACTTAATAGGACTAATTTTGTTTCCTGAGTTCTTTTCCAAATTTCAATTTACTAAGTTAATGCCATTGCCATCTCTTCCAGTATCACACTGCCTGAGTTTTTCAATCCCTTTAACTTCCTTTTTATGTATGTGCTTTTATTTATCTTTGTGATTTAACTGCAACAACATAGGTATGGAGATCTGTTGGTTGATGAGTGGCTCACCATTAATGTTTCTTTTTATAAAGAGCTCACCTTTAATTAAATTCATTACAATGATATTATTTTACTTAGAATGTGTAAATCGATCATACTGGTCATGTCGGTAGGGTCATGCCGGTTTCATGACCGGCACAGGTTGAACCAGATTCAATCGGGTGACATGCCACCGACATGACAAGTTGACAACCAGAAATAGAGAAGAAAAATAAACCCGGCCATGGGCCGGGCTCAAAGCTAGTTACATATTATTTCTTTTGTTCGTATCCGTTCTCGTTCTTGCCGTCGCCATTTGTCGCCTGGCTGGCTTACTCTCTACGTAGATGCCATTAATATGTTTTGAGAATAACGATTTTCGTATCTTCCTAATATTTTATCACCATTTGCATAATTGCATTATATAATGAAATTCAGGCATTGAGGGATGGCTTTAAATGCGCACACCCACATGAATATATGCACATGATTTTCTGATGGGGGTATCATTTTTGACTGGCGTCGGTCAGGAGTTGGCCATTCTTGACTCTTGTTTCGAGTGGAAATAATAGGATATATGTTGTTCAAACCTCAATGTGAGCTAATAATTCTACCAAAAACTATAGTACTTTATGTTTAGTTTGACAAGATAGAGGAGGAGGAGGAAACGAAGAATTGGAAGAGCTTAAATCGGTTACCTATTGTTATGCTTATTCATAAATCGAAAGCAAAATTTCGGATTGGCCATATATAGTCAAATAAATCTGTCATGTTTGGTCTGACATAATATTATTCACTACGAAAATCCAGTATGGTCAGAGCGCTTTCCCTTACACATCTTATCTAATTCGCGACACACAACTAATGAGAATATGAAAGACACTGCGTGTACTTTATGTTTTTTCATTTAATCATGATCGCAGAGCTATTACTGATCCATGATGGAGATTAACTCGTTAGACTCCAAGTCACCGCTCTTTGGAGTTTAACAAAGTCACCCACATGTCATTTCATTTCATTTTAACGATGCTATTACATAGATGTTATTGCTTAAGGCACGGTTGTACGATTGGATCAATCGTTTCGCTAATTTATTTGGTACAAACTCTGATATGATTTCACAAACTACAAAATTGTTGTGTATGTGAATTTACACAAATGATTATGAATATATTAGTGATCGTATGGTCAGGGGCGGAGCTAGGTGGTACTTCGGGGGGCCTCAGCCCCCCCCCCCCCCCCCGAGATTTTTGAAATCACGTACAAAATTCTATCGAGGTTTGAAGAATTACGTATAAAATGAAGATTAGTATAAATACAAACTGTGTGCATTAATGAAGCATATGATTTGTGTGTAGTCCAGCGGAGAAGAAGTTGATTGTTGTCATTCATGGTCTTGGTTTGAAACCTGTTGGCAGCAAATTGTTACTGATTTTTTAAACTTCTTAACTGACTGTGATAAAAACTCATATTTAATTGTCTTTAACCTTCTTAATTGAGCGTGACAAAGACCATATTAATTTTTTTAACCTTGTTAATTTAGTTTTAACTGATCTTGATAAAAAAACCATATTTAATTGTCTTTAACCTTCTTAATTGAGCGTAATTTGTTTTACAAGTCATGTAATTTTGAAGTAGCTTAATTATGCTCTTCAAATTTAAATTTATATTTCTAATAATAGTTTTGCCATTTTCTTTATCTCAAATATTACAAATAAATTATAAATAAATACAAATATTAATTATATTTTATGATATATTTTCTTCTACATATTACACTTTCTAAACTTCGGCCTCCCCGACGGTCAAATCCTGGCTCCGCCCCTGCGTATGGTGCTTCTAACAAAGAGATATTATATATTAAAAAAAACAAATGATTAAGTTTGATCAACTACTTGTGTTTGGAACTACTCAAAATGTGGGATTAACTGCCGGTTAGAGCTTCATTTTTATTCAATATATTGATTCCTCATTTCTCATAGTTCATTGGGATAATCAAATACCCACACAAAGAGGAGGAAGATGCCACTCCCACAAAAACTCCACCAGCCAGCCATGAGCCAACTACCGCATACTAGGACAAATTAAATTGGAACATCAAAATCAGAACGATTAGAAATCCTTAATTTGGAGCATTTGAATACAAGAAAACTAATGAAAGAATCCTCGAGAGTGACCAAATTTTGAGTTTTAATCACTAGAATTTACTTTTCTATTCAATCTACTTTAATTTTATTACATATTTTATAATTGGATGTGATGAGATGATTCCTTTTTAGAATTGACCTATATAGGGCATAATACTCTGTGCTGAAATAACTCTTGTCATACTTTCAGAAAAAGCTCGAACGATCTTCAACAAAAAGGTTATATGTACCCGAAACCAACATAGGTGGTTAGGTAGAGAATATAAGTCCGAGGGCTAAGGAAGAACATAAGCCAGATGAAGGAGCATGAAGTTAAGCAAGCTGTTGGGTTTCATCCAATTCAACCCACAAGCTGTATTTCCTGCCTAACTTCTTGTAGTGTGAAAGTTTCCCCCTTCTTTTGGGAGGGTACTCCAAGTAGCGGGTACCTCGTAGGACCCCGACCTGCCTACTCAAGTCTTGTATGGATATTGAAGGGATGCTCCTAGGGGGTCATTTGGATGCAGGTTTTGGGTGTGAGATTTGGGCACAATCCTACATAATGTGGGATTTTATTAAAATCACTCGTTTGGAAAGCAATTATACGATAAGAGATTTTAAATATTAGAGATTTCAAAAACCCACAATTGTGGGATTATGAAATAGCTGATGGTGATCAGCTATTTTGAAATCCCACACAAATCCCACAAATTAAAAACCTGGGTTTTTAAACCAGTGATTTGAGCCAAAATCCCACAAATTAAAAACCTGGATCCAAATGACCCCTAGGTGTGTGTAAGAACATCATATTATTCATTAATCCATAGTAAAACAGGGCTCGAAAAAGTCCATATAAATCGTACATAATCCAATAACGTGACATATGATCATCTATACTTACGTCTTAACATGAACACTACTTTTTTATGATTTCCAAAATTTATTCTTAAATTTGGGTTAACGGTATTAGATTAATATTAAAATTTTATGAGTATCATCCTATAAATAACACTTTTCGTAAATTATTGTTGTTGTAGTGAATTAGTGATATTTGCCTTTGGTTATTTTGCGATGGAAAGTTGAAATAATAAAGCAGGTAAAATATAAAAGAGGCCTTTTTACCAATGTTTAATGTTTTCCTTATAATTATGGAGTAAATTTTGAATATTAAAACGCCTTCTATAAGAAAAAAAAACTCGCCTATATAGTATATACCAATCATCTAAACGATAAAAACTTCTAACGATACCGTTTTGTCGTAACCCAACCCATCACTTGTCTTCTTGCAAATATGGAAATGGTACACAAAGACGGCCAGAGCCAGACGGGCAATTCCCAATTTCCGCCTCCGTCTCTCCCTCGCCACCACTTTCCTTCCGCTCTCACAGTTTTTCTTTACTCTAGAGCAAGCAGCCGAATGACCTGAAAAATGATTTTAATTTCATTATATAAATAATACTACCCGACCCACCATCACCACCATCCCCCGGCAGCCACACAATCGCTCACATTATATTTAAATTTCCTTCCATTACCACTTCCCAAGCTCTGTTCTTAGCTCTGAGATAGTTTGCTTTCCCCCGCTCAAACTCCCCTTCTTTTCCTGCAAAAAAACGCTTCTTCTTTCGGGGTTTCTGAGCTTGGAATTCAGGGTTATCAAAAGGGTCGCTCTTTAATTCGTCGATTATGGCTCTCAATTTGTTGTCTCCTCCTGATGTAAAGTCCGTTTCTTTCTTGGATTCCACCAAATCGTTCCACACCCACGCCTTATCCAAGCTCCCAGGTTTGTTCCTTTCTTTCTTCTTCTTTCTGGGTGTCCTTTTTTGGGGGTGCCTTTTGAGATTTTGAGTGTCTTTCTGGGAGGAAGTTGTTTGTATTGTACCAGTTCCGGCAGCTTTTTTGCATGGTTTGAAATCCATGTATTGATTCTAGTTTTGGTTATTGTGTGAATTTTTTTCAGGTGGGTTCAGTTTGAAGAGAAAGGAGAATGGTGGGAGAGGAATCCAATGTTCAGTTCACCAGTCCCAGCCTCCTCCAGCTTGGCCTGGAACGGCTCTCCCTGAGCCAGGCCGCAAGACTTGGGATGGTCCCAAACCAATCTCCATCGTAGGTTCCACTGGCTCCATTGGCACCCAGGTAATCCCATTTCCTTGAATTAGTTTGTCCTTCCTTTCTGAGAAATTTATGATCATTATTGGAAACGCTGATGAGTTTAGAGGGTGCTACGTAAACAGAACACTTGAGAACCTTTGAGTTATGCTAATTGTTGAATTTGTTGAGGAAGTGAAGGGTTATCTCATACCACCAAGGTACTTTGTGCTTTAATTTTTTCCTTTTGCAGACATTGGATATAGTGGCTGAAAACCCAGATAAATTCAGAGTTGTGGCCCTGGCAGCTGGTTCAAATGTCACACTCCTGGCCGAACAGGTAATCCATCTCGTTCCCCGTCAGTTTATCATCTTGTCAAGAATTGATTCATGAAAGTTTTCCTTAAATGGTTATACTGATTTCGGGCTAACTGTCTTGGTCCTACATATGTTTGTTTATATAGATAAAACAATTCAAGCCCCAATTGGTTTCTGTGAGAGACGAGTCATTGGTTGAAGAGTTAAAGGAGGCTTTGGCTGGTCTTGATGTAAAACCTGAGATCATCCCTGGGGAGCAAGGTATTATCGAGGTAAGTTTCTCTGTTCAATTCAGTTTCTTGCTGTCTGTTTGGCTGAAAGCTTTGATCACTGCTAATTGTCTCCTGCGATTCACCTTTTCAGGTTGCTCGCCACCCAGATGCTGTTAGTGTTGTGACAGGAATAGTGGGATGTGCTGGTCTCAAGGTATTTCAATTGATTAACTAGTTGTCTCTAATCCATTTGACCTGGATTTTTATGACTGTCTCTTAAGATATAGGACTGGTTAAATAAATGAACAACAAGCCTTTTGAGCATGTGTTCTGTACCATGTTTCTTTTAATGTTATTTGTTTCAAGTTTTATAATGTTTTTTTTTCCCAGCATTCATTTCTCAACCACTCAACCTGCTTTTTTTGTTTCCAATTTTCAGCCTACAGTGGCTGCAATTGAAGCCGGGAAAGACATAGCCCTAGCCAACAAAGAGACCTTAATTGCTGGAGGCCCTTTTGTCCTTCCTCTTGCTCACAAGCACAATGTCAAAATTCTACCTGCTGATTCTGAGCATTCTGCGATATTTCAGGTATAGAAGATTATCTGGTTTTGTATGGATCATGGATCAACTTTCATTTTGAATCTGTCCTCTCCCCATATGTTGTCAACTTCGGCTTTGGTTTGTTAATCTTAGTTCTTTCATTTTTACTAATTATGGAACTGAAGAAAGAGATGATTTCTCCTGCAGTGTATTCAGGGCCTGCCTGAAGGTGCACTCCGACGGATTATTCTCACAGCTTCTGGTGGTGCTTTCAGGTGTGTAATTGTAATTTAAGATACTGGTTAAAAAGTTGTGGAAATCATGAGATTGCTTGATTCTTGAGAAACTTCATTAAGTGTTTTTTTAGTTACACTTTTTCCTGGTATAATATGTTCCTTCACTATGAGTTTGATCATTCTCTGGGAAACTTAAGTCGCTTAAAACCTGCTTAAGACGAGAATTCTAAACTCTATTTGTGCTTGCTCATGAATGAATTTGTTATCAGCCTTTATCACTGCTGATTTTTTCAATGTATTGTTGGCAGGGATCTCCCTGTTGAGAAATTGAAGGATGTTCAGGTTGCTGATGCCTTGAAGCACCCAAACTGGAGTATGGGAAAGAAGATCACAGTGGACTCAGCTACCCTCTTCAATAAGGTACTCTTGCATGCCTTTTCCCCGATGAATAAGCTTCATGTTCATCATTTAGAATAGAATGTTCCATCTCATGCTGTTTGTTCTCTGTTTTCACAGGGACTTGAGGTGATTGAAGCCCATTATCTATTCGGAGCTGAGTATGATGATATCGACATCGTCATCCACCCACAGTCCATTATACATTCGATGATTGAAACTCAGGTCTTGCTTTGCTTCTGAAGCATAAACTCTTCTAACTCTCTTACTGCATACTCATTCTTACCGTTCTCTCTCGATTATTTCATTACAGGACTCTTCTGTGCTTGCGCAACTAGGGTGGCCTGATATGCGCATTCCAATTCTCTACACAATGTCCTGGCCTGAGAGAATCTACTGTTCCGAAGTAACTTGGCCTCGTCTTGATCTTTGCAAGTGAGTAAACCACCTCCCATTCTCCACAACCTCTGGCTTAGCATCTTCAGAACTTTGGCTAAAAGCTGAGATTTTTCTGCGGCTAACTTGGGCATAATGCAGGCTGGGCTCACTGACATTCAAAGCTCCCGACAACGTGAAGTACCCATCCATGAATCTTGCTTATTCAGCTGGACGAGCTGGAGGTACCATGACAGGTGTCCTGAGTGCTGCCAATGAGAAAGCTGTAGAGTTGTTCATTGATGAGAAGTACGCCTGCTTTCCTTTTCTGTTCTTCACCCTTACAGTATCAAACTACTGCCTCATGAACCCAGAACTAACAAATATTGGTCTTTTACCAGGATTAGGTATCTGGATATCTTCAAGGTTGTGGAGTTGACGTGCGCCAAGCATCAGGAGGAGTTAGTGACATCACCATCACTAGAGGAGATCATACATTACGACTTGTGGGCAAGGGATTATGCTGCTAGTCTGCAACAGTCTTCTGGGTTGACTCCAGTTCTTGTCTGATGCTTTGGCTAATTGGCTGATTGATTTCCTGAGGGTGTCATTGGCGGATCGTGAAGGTGTTTCTTTCCTTTTTCCTTGCCAGAAGTTTGGCAACATTGCACTATTGAAGGGAGGGTAGGCAGCAGTGTTATGTAGAGTAGAAGGGCTTGGGATGCATTACCGTTTCTGTGTTTTGTTTTTGGCATAATATGCATCCTCTGAAACAATGGGGAAAGCTTGAATGTAACATTCTGATTATCAAATGGAAAGGGGGGTAAGTCGGTAAGAGAAGGGAAAAAGGATTTGGAGCTCGCAAATGTAAAGAAAATTACAATGAGAATCAACATGCCATTTGCAGTATAGTAGAAGTGTAGAACTCAACAAAGTTTACTTGTAAGGCACGGATCCTTGCAAAGAGTGAAAAAGCCCATCACTCATGTGCGTTCAGGGCCCAGGGGACCTGACTATGAGCTAGCCCAGGCCCTGATTTAGGTGTACACCGATGACCGATCCACAATACATTAGAAACACAGAGTATCAGCCTATTAAATTAACCGAAGTGAGGGGCTTTAATAGGCTGCAACCGAAACCTCTTGCTAGTATTAGTGGTGCTCCACAAGAAATAAAATAACTGCTCTTGTATGGGGTGGTGTTTGTGAAACAGTATTGATGTCCGAAAAAAACCTCCTATCAGAATTCAAATGGGTAGGCAGTTTTAGTGATATGAAAAAGGTTGAACTCTCGTTAAATTATGTTTCCAGCATAAAAGGCTCTACTATTGATTTTTCCGATACAACCTCGTTACGCAATCCTTGGTATGAGGTCATATTTGGGTAAGTGAGGAGAACATTTATCTTGGTTCTATACTTAAACTTTCCATTCCAGGTGAAACAGGGAGTTGAGTTGTCGATTAGGGATTTTAATTTTAGGGTTCTAGGTTCCTTATCCGCTGTCATTTTTCATCTGTTTGTGTTATGGCCATCGGTATCGGTATTACCAAAATACTGGCGGTAAATAACCGGCACACTGACGATATACCACCAGCCTTCCCCGTGCCTCCGATTACCGATATTGTCCGGTTAACGGTTTAACCGGTAACTGCGGTTACCGATTAAATCGATAACCGCAAAACCAATGTGGATCCAATGGATGGAAACTCACATACATGCCCACCTGGGTTTTATGGGACCCCATGATAAAAACATGTACATAAAGGAGTTGCGGTTGTGATCCCCCAACACACCAAGACCAAAACCAATCTCATCTTCTTCCCCATCAGGAAGATGAGAGCTTTCCGTAGAGGAACTAAGGCGGCTTGATTGAGGAAGGCTGCGTAACCTCCCGAGTCGTGCACTAAGAGGCATTGTCCGGAGATTGATCGTCACCGTTTCCACATCCAGCTTCTGACGATCTACATGTATCTCCAACTAACCTTTGATAATCTAGCAATACGATATCGAGGGAATTTCTAGTGCAAATTGTGTTATATTTAACATATGGTCCCTCGCTGACAGATTTGTGAAGCTTAATGGCGTTATTGGGCATAGATGCAACGGCAACCATGAGGGAGAGTGGCCACAACAACAACCATCTAGCCCAATGGAATGGTGCACACGAAGATTGCATATCACGCCGTGCAACGAAAGTGCAACAGTGCGTGGATGAAACTTATGCAGGAACGCTGATGCAATAATTTATTGCTGAAATTGGAACAGCTGCGGCAGTAGGGTGAACAGATAAATTTTAGCATGCGCATGTCCAAGATGGAGGAGATTGAACAGATCAATTTAAAGGGAAAGATCACTCAAACACAAAACACACTAACTATCAATACAGTGTTAATCTATGGCGTGAATTATTCGAAATGACAATAATATGCTGAATTATGGGCATGACTTGTGATTTGTGTCCGTATGCATTTTTTTTTTTAGCGGTTAAATATAATCGTTGTTCAAACGACAACGAACTCATGTTTTATTGCTGATGACGTGGCCGGCTTGACATAATTGTTAGGTGGTCGATCAACACATAGAATTTTTATACCCAACATCATCTGAATCACCGTTAGGAACGGAGCCAGAATTTAACTATCGACGGACTGGATTTCGCTTAATATATCAACATTAAAAGTTAAAGAACAATGATAAGTAAAATATTTAATTAAAAACTAAATTCTCTTCATAACCACGTAAAACATATACTTTTCACATTAAGTTCAATACAAATAAGAAAAATATTTCATATCAGAATATTCTTATGGAAGAGGCGTTCGGTCACCGATTTTTCAATATTGAGGATTTTGTTATTATTATATTTTTTGGATCTATTATTTTCTTACCATTTTAGTATCTGAAGAAAATGATAATTTTTTTTAAAAAAAAAAAATCCAATAAGATGACATGTCAACCCCTGATTTAACTTTTCATCGACTACTAACGATCGCAATTAACCAAGTCAGAATATCATATTAAAATAATTTCATATTCGAATACTTGGTTCAAATCACCCCAAATTCAAACAACACAAAAATTGCAAAGGCAGCTGATCAGTTGCTGTTCTAATATCCTAAGCCAGAACTCGAGAGAAGATTACGTACAAGCCACACATGTTAACCCAAGGAAGATAACTTGTGGGGCACGTATATAATAATCCTTCCTTTGTAAAAAAAAAAAAGACAATTACGGGCAAATCCATATATGCCAGTTGGTTGGCTGACATTTATTAATTTCTTCGTCAGGAAACGTGGACACCAATCAATAAGTGGGAAAAGAAAGTGAAAGGCAATTAGGGACACTTGGGCTGTTTTTAGTGGGCTAAAATATGAGTGCTGGGTACTTAACTGGCTGAGATGGATAAATAGATAGGATTAGGCATGGAGGAATCACTGGTCGAAGAAGAATCTCTAAAATCGTTCCATGATTATTGTCGATAAGCTGCCAAGCTTATAACAGTATGTCAGTAGGGTTAGCATAAGTACGATGGATATCCACGGATTAACAAGAAGCAGAAGATAAGCGTATAAAAGTACGGGGAAATGGCGAGGGAAGCATCATAAAGCTCATATAATTATAAGTTTATGAAAACAGACCACAAATTTCATAAAGCGGACCGCAAGTTTTCTGAAGCATTTCAGAAACCTCAGCTGGCCACAAATTTATTAAAGCCGATTGGAAATCTCATTAAGCAGACAACGCGTTCCCCAAAGTGGTCTGGAGACCTCGTCAAACTGACCACAAATTCCCTTTAAACATACCAAAATTATGTGCAACCACACCAGAACTCACATGAGAAACACTAGAAAGGACGAGAATCCACCCTGGAAAAAAACAATATAAAGGGTGCAAGTAATAAAAAAAATTATAATGTCCGAAATAAATTTTTTTATAATGGAAAAATATCCTTTACAAGTTAAGTGCTGGATTTTTTTTTTTTTAAAACGTAGAGAGAAAAGTGAAGGTGGGTATGGAGGATGAGAGGACAGGGTGGAGGAACTATATTTAACATAATAACATCCCTAATAATTATATTAGCATGGTGGTATAGGTCCCAACCCATATAACCAACATTACAATGGTATTAGGAAATCAGTGATTCTGGTTACCTATTTTTGTTGAAAATCAAAATATATTTAACTCAATTATTGGTGGTAGTGATGCTACCTATCATAGAAGAGTCTAGAAACAATAAAAGAGAGGGGAAAAAACTGCCCCAATAATTATGGATGGAAAAAAAAGAGGAGGAAATGGGGAAGGGAAGGACCAGCAGATTCATCTGCAGCCACCCAATTGCCCAAATATGGATCTTTTAACACTAAGATAGATATAAATTCTTTCCCTCATAAGTATTGCTAGAGGCAGAATCCACCACTAAAATTACACTAAACAGAAAAAGGGAGAAAATCGGGACGTTCATCTTCCAATATGATATTTTAGAGAATAATTATAATATCCATTCTTTTGTAATGATATTGACCTTGTGGTACGAAAACCTTATGTAACGCTTCTAATTTAACAGCTACATAGAAAACAATTGTCGTTCTAATATGTTGACGCAATAGATTTTTATTTTACGCAACAGTTCTACAATAGTGCTTACACCTAAAATTTTCGTAATACATATAAATTTTACGTAATGAGCATTAACATGAAGTTCTACGTAAAGTGCAAAGACATAACGACAAATTCTTTTCTTTTTTACAACCGGTTAAATCTCATTCATAAGCGATTGTGGTACAAGGTCGCCAGCCTACTACAATATAGATGAGATTAAAACAAGAATATGAATCCACTCGGTAGGGAGAGCTCCTCTCGCAGTTTCTTTAGCAATCCCGTCTTGCCACTTATTGATTCCTCTCATAATAAAAAGCCACCCTAATTAATATGCTCATTCAGTTGAAAGAATCCGAGTAATGCAATGAATCCACGCCCCCTTCACTTGCCATGTCAGCCATGACCAAGATCAAGCTACTCCGATTCGGTTAGGTTCCAAGTACACACCATTCTATACCTATTATACGTAAAACTAACAAGCATTACTTAACTAATTACGTAATAAAAAAAAATTCAACTTATAATAAGTTGAAACGTGTGATGTTGAAAGTGGGTAATTAACTTGTTTTGAGAGTGACAACATCTGTGAAAAGCCCTCCAAACCAACTGAAACCAGGAGAGATCCTTTCATGGCTTCTTCTGATCATCGACCATCTTCTTATCACAAATAATTTTCTTCTCTTCTCTTTTATCATCGTCAAAATAAACTCTTTCCACAAATATTATTATGCCATCCTCCTTGCCACAATAATTCACTTCTGTCTCTGTCTGTCTATTATATTTTTGTGGCAGAATAACACAATCTTCACGACTCTCCTTCTCCTCTCTATATATTTGGGTCGAAATCGTCAGTCGATCGACATTACCAGCCACCTTCTTATAGTCTTCACTACTACAAGCTTTTGTTATTAATTAGCTCTGAGTTTCAAAAGCTTGTTTTGTGGACTACAAATATGGCTCTCAATTTGCTGTCTCCTGATGTGAAGTCCATTTCCTTCTTGGATTCCACCAAAGCTTTCCACTCCAACAGTACCCTATCCAAGCATCCAGGTTCTTTTCATCCTTTTTTTTTACTAGTAGAATCATGTGACCAAAAAACTGTTACACCCATTAAAAATATGTCACATCTTGGTTGTATATAATTTGTCTGGACAAAGTTAACTTATGTTTGTATGTAATTTTAGTAGCCGATCGCGATCACGTAAATTCGCATATGTGCGTGTAACAATCTACTGTTTCGTGCAATCTTTTTCAATTCCATCATTAACCCATCAACCGTTTTCGAAGTAAACTTATTGATATCAATTGCACGAAATCGGCGGTCGGTTCTTATTTCGTCACTATGTGATTTTATTTTTGTAACACGGCAACATACATAACTCCCCTCTTAAGGTTGTTGCACAGTTTAATGTCGGGAAACAAGTTGGATTCTTCGGTTGAATTCGTGGATTTATAAATTCATTTACTGAAATGAATTGATGCTTTCGTGTTTTGCTAAGGATCTTGAAGTTTTGATGTTGCCTGTGAGTGTTTCGGTCATTTTCCCCCCGGATATAAGAGTTATAAGGGGAAGTGTTGAAATTTTGAATACAAAGATGGATTACCTTGTCAATAGTCGGAAAATTGGTATCATAGTGTAATTTTCCATTATCTAGTGAAGTTGAAGTTAATATAATTTGTACCTTTTTTTTTTGTAAAACTACGAAAGTTTAGTTACTAATTGAACTACATATTTTAACAATCTTGTGGTAAACCTCTAACAATTTAGATACTAAGTTTAGTATAAAAATATTTATGAACTAAAATCTAATCTGATAGTCTAGTCCATTTAGACCAGAGATGAATTGGATTGTTGGATCAGTTTGAGATTCACCACCTCTAACTCGGTCAACTCAACTTTTTTTTCCGGTTGTTCTTGTGTAAAATGTCCAGGTGGGTTCAATTTGAAGAAAAAAGAGAGTGGTGGGAGAAGGATCCAATGTTCGGTTCAACAGTCGCAACCTTCTCGTTCATCGGCTTGGCCTGGAACTGCTATACCAGAACCAGACCGTAAGATTTGGGATGGTCCCAAACCGATCTCGATTCTTGGTTCCACCGGTTCGATTGGCACCCAGGTTAATTTGAGAACCTTCGAGTCCTTTTGTATTTAGTAATCGTTGATCACTGTGTAGAATCTTAATCAATTTCTCCCCTTTGTTTTAGACATTGGGTATAGTGGCAGAACATGCAGATAAGTTCAAGGTTGTTGGACTTGCGGCGGGTTCAAATGTCACACTCCTTGCTGATCAGGTTATCCAATCCCTTTCTCTTTGCATATTATCTTCCTATGAGTTTATTTTTTACAGATTGTTCGAAGCTCGTAATTTTGGAATAGTTGTATTGTGAAAATGTCGAATTTCATTTGGAATAGGATGACGAAGGAAATGGAATTGAAGTAGTTTCATAGAAGGAATATTGAAAATGGATAATTTTTGTTTTCATTTTAGTCGACAGAAATAATGAAACTTATATCATTTTCAGAGAATTAAATGAGATGAAGAAATTTGATGTTAATAGATTCGATAATTCCTTCCATCTATTTTAGACTCATATTTTGTCTATTCAGACAGAGAAAAAGTATTGGAATTTTCACATGATGGAATTTAAATCCAAGCCAATTCGGTTATATACAAAAAAATTATGAGATAAATAAATATCTCTGACATGGAATTTGTATTAGGTGAGAAGATTCAAACCCCAATTGGTTTCTATTAGAGATGAGTCATTATTTGGCGAGTTGAAGGAGGCTTTGGCTGATCTTGAAGAAAAACCTGAGATCATCTGTGGAGAGCAAGGAGCCGTCGAGGTAAAAATTCTCTATTCAATTCCTTTTTAGACTCTTTGGGTGAAAACATTAATTACTATAATGGGTAACTTTGAAACTTGGTAACAAAATGGGCACCTCTAGAAAATTCCAACTAAATTTTTTGTCTAATTTGCAACATTAACGTAATAAGTTATCCTTAGAATTAAAATTATCAAAACTCAATTAAGTAAGGGTGGCTGTAGAGTCCGGTCCAGTTAAATTGGCCCGAATTGATACGGTCTCAGTCTGGTCTTTTCGGGAATATAAGGACCCAAAATTGGATTAGATATAGTCCGGTCTTGACCCGGTCCGGTCCCAATTCGGTCTTGATTTTAGATTGAGCTTGTGGGGATTTGAGTGGCCTGAGGACTCAAAGGGTGATGAGTTGGTTAAATTTTGGGTGTTGGGCTCTCTTATCCGGTTTTCGATCCTGTCTCAAACGGTTTTTTGCCTCAAATCTAAGGTCTCAAATTGGATTTGATTGTTAGCTATCCGAGTCCGGTCCGGTTTTGGGTAAAACCAAATAGTCCGGACCAAATAGCCAGCCCTACAAATTAAGCACCGTGAATCAAACCATGAGACTCATAGTCGTCGACGATTCATACCTTACCAGAAAAGAAAGTCATACCAGATCACTTATCATATATGGTTTTTTTTTTCAAACTCGTGTATATCTTACCTATTTGAACTTCGGTACTGTATCTTTAATAACGGATCGAAGAAAGACAAAATTTTGAATGAAGAATTTAATGGAACTCGGAAGTGACACTACCCTTGAGATTCATTTCTCAGGTTGCTCGCCACCCAGATGCTGCTACCGTGGTCACAGGAATAGTTGGATGTGCTGGTCTCCAGGTATTTCAGTTTCATTGCTTACTTCTTTCTCTCAAACCATTTGACCTAGATTATTACCATGGCCATTTTCATTCAAGCAAAAGCCAGCCCTGATGTTGTTCAAACTTCTTCACACAGCCTACAGTGGCAGCCATAGAAGCAGGGAAAGAGATAGCCTTGGCCAACAAGGAGACCTTAATTGCTGGAGGCCCTTTCATCGTCCCACTTGCTCACAAGCACAACGTCAAAATTCTGCCTGCTGATTCTGAGCATTCTGCCATCTTTCAGGTATAGAGAAAGATTTGGTTTTTTGTATGGATCAATTGCCCATTTTTCGCAACGAATCATGTAACGAAAAACCCGATTGTTCTGCTCCAGTGTATTCAAGGCCTGCCAGAAGGTGCACTGCGACGCATTATTCTGACAGCTTCTGGTGGTGCTTTCAGGTGTGTGGAGAAATTTGTAAATTTATTAAGCTACTGCAATTTGCAATGGAGATGACTCTCCTTGATCTTACTTCGATCTGGCCTTTCTTTCTTGGGCAGGGATCTTCCTGTTGAGAAATTGAAGGATGTCAAAGTTGCTGATGCGTTGAAGCATCCTAACTACAGTCTGGGGAAGAAGATCACTGTTGATTCTGCTACCCTCTTCAATAAGGTGCTCCCCTTTGCTGATGCGTTGAAGCATCCGAACAAGTATCATGTTCTTCTGATCTAACTTTGTTTCCGGGTTTCTCACAGGGACTTGAGGTGATCGAAGGCCATTACTTGTTCGGAGCTGATTACGATAACATTGAGATCGTGATTCATCCACAATCGATTATACATTCCCTTATCGAAACACAGGTCTTTCTTGCTTCTCAAACTGCTTGTTTCTGCCTTGCTTCTTGCTGCTTTTCTCCTTCTCACTGCTATTTCTTGATCATTTAATTACAGGATTCATCTGTTATTGCTCAACTAGGGTGGCCTGATATGCGCATCCCACTTCTCTACACTCTGTCCTGGCCTGAAAGAGTTTACTGCTCCGAAGTAACTTGGGAACGTCTCGACCTCTGCAAGTGAGTAACTTTCCACACACAAAAATTGGCTAATAGTTTGCTGCTGGTGTTCATAAGTCCAACATATTCCTTCATTGGTGATAATGCAGGATTGGTACAATGACATTCAAAGCTCCAGACTATGTGAAATATCCCTCCATGGATCTTTGTTATGCAGCTGGACGAGCTGGTGGTACCATGACAGGCGTCCTGAGCGCTGCTAATGAGAAAGCTGTAGAGCTGTTCATCGATGAGAAGTGCGCCTCTAAAATTCAACCACATATATGCTTCGTAAACTCTTCAAGTTACCAAATGTTCTGCAAAGTGCAAAGTGCAATTGATTTTCTTTTGTTTTGGTTTTTTACTTCTTCCAGAATTAGCTATCTGGATATCTTCAAGGTTGTGGAGTTGACATGCGCGAAGCATCGGGAGGAGCTGGTGGCATCACCATCTCTGGAAGAGATCATACATTATGACTTGTGGGCAAGAGATTATGCTGCTAGTCTGCAACAGTCTCCAGCTTCAACTCCAGTTCTTGTGTGATGCTGCTTATGATGATGATGATCCCACTGCTTTTATAAACTAGAAATCTGGAGCTCGCACTTGTAAAGAAAATAACATAGAAACCGCATTGCATTTGCTGCGTAATAAACAAACAATACAGACAATGGCCTTGTTGGGATTTTGAAAAGCTAACTAAGAAGAATAATGCGAAACGATGCATTTAACAATCCATCTACCTTACTCAAATTCAATCCATTTCAACAACGATCCATCTATTTGGAACGATAACCCTTTCGCCAAATGCATAATTCAAAACAACCCGTTACAAAAGAGAGATGAAATTCCAAGAGAATACTAACCCTATTCTCCTCTGGAAATATTGACCTTGAACTTCATCGACTTACTGAAACCATCGTCCTTGGTCCCAATTAGCTTGAAAACACAAACGTCTCCCTCTTCCAAAAAATTCTCTTCTGCAAATAGTCTCCATCCACCACATAGGGACGTATAATCTTTCCCTTTCTGTACTTCTCTATTAAAGGTCACCGGCCAGTAACTGCCTTCAACCCATAACTCTGCTTCACGGACATCTTTCTCGACATTGCTTGCAAACCCAGTTGGAATTCTCTGCACAAGAAAATATGGTTCACAGGCTGATGTAGCTTTTTTCCCCGTTTTTTTTCTTTACTTGCCACAAAATAGAGTTAAGAAAAACAAACAGTCCCAACCCACCACTTTGCAATTGCGAGAGCGTGGTAGATGACCAGGTGCAACAGTCACTTCGAAGGAACCATTCCCTGAAGTAAAGACGGTGGACTGCCGGCCGCGGTTTGTTTTAAGCTTAGAAGACTGCATATCTGTCCTTGAAACTGCTTTTCCTGGAAGCACTGCAGAAACGGTTCTTCTCCATACCCCGCCATTTCCACCCGCTGACGACCCGCTACCTGAAAAAGGTTTTGGCCTCCCAATCACCCTGTTAACCTTCCTAGCTGGGCAAACTGAGTGGGAAAAACCTAGAATGTATTAGATCAAACACCCCTGAAAAGATCACACATTCTGAAAACGAGGAAAAAGATCAAATCATCATAACCTTCAACATCATCCTGGCTACTCTCACTAGAAAGATCTTCATCAAGGGTTGTCTCCCAATTGCTCCCACGGGCAAGTCCCTTTTTCAGCTTTGGAGGTCGGGGACGGTTGCTCAATGGTGGTGGGTCTTCCCTGGTCTCTGGGGAAGACGAGTAGCCATCCAAGATTTCAACAGAAGGATCGTCTTCTTGCCCTCCAGATTCACCACTAACATCAGCTTCGGACGGAGGAGGGTAGCTAATCTCGGAGGCACTGGGATCAAATATAAACACACGGAAACGACTGTCGCCAAGATATTCAAACATCAGTAAGAAACCCATCGAGTTGACACAGTGAAAGTCAGCAAATTGTCGCCAACCCTGGCCGAACCAAAGCTTGTCGCCGCCTCCAGAAAGCCGGATGGGCCATTCTGTGCCATTGGGGAGCTCGAAAACTACCCTTTTCGAGAGACCAGCACCATACTTCTTGGCGAACAACTTCGGAACCGCCTGTTTACAAAGGAGGGAAGGCGTTGAAAGAGGTTCAGTCGTTGAGACAATTCGTCGAACAGAAAGCGGGCAAAACTCATTTGCATCATACTGTTGGGAAAAAAAGAAAAAAAACTTACCAGCTGCTGGTCCCGGACCATTCCAGGCATGATAAGCCGGAAAAACTGTGGCCTTTTGGCCGTGCGCCTCAGGCTGTGAGCTCCTCCGGCCATTTTTTACACACCAGATCAAAGTTCACCTCCAAAAAAAAAGGCTGTTGATGAAGCGCCTTTGTGGTGGCGTTGATGAAGACTAGCTAGTGGTGGGTAGATGGCAATGATAAATGCCCCCTGAGACCGAAAATGGCAGGAAAGGAAGGTTGCCTTGGGAGAAAGCAAGAGGCAGGCAGAAGGCGACCAACCATTGGACATTCCTCTGTATCCCTCTCCATTTCTGTTTCATGTCTTCTGTAAGTTCCTTTCCTTGTAGCCCAGAGGCTTTCTTTCCATTTCCAGCTCTTGTTGCATCCATCCGTACAGCCGAAGCAGAACCAAGCGTTGGAAGGAGGAAACGCTTACTGTACAGTCTGCTCTCTGACAAGACGCTTTAGGGATTTGAGAACAAAGAGCTTCGAGCCAGAGGGGGAAAGAAGAAGAGAAGATGGAAAGAGATGCAGGAAAAAAAATCAAACCAGCTCTCTCTTTACTTCGTTTCGTTCCTTTCTTTGCTTAATTGATGATTGGACCGGGCCGGGACAAGTCACTTAACTTGGAAGGGCCGGATCTGTAAACAAGGCCAGCTCACTCAAGGATTGAGGGATTAGGCCCACTCTTTAACTTCTGTCTCCAAAGTCGCAGTCTAGGAACTAGGATTGTAGTTACCAAATTCCGAATAGATGGCAATCAAACTTCAAACCCATGGCCGCGAGTATCCTTCCAATTCCGACCCAGTCAACGCGGGTAATCTCCACATTGACCAGGTATAGGACGGGTATGGATAAAATTCGCAAAGAACTTGATGGGTATGGAACGGGCATGGTTTTAGCGTCCCCCGCCCCAATACCCATACCCAAATCTGCCCCATCAAGATATTTTGCTATACGTAAAAAGCTATAAATACATTTTTATAAATTATTATTAGCATGAAGACAATTAAATAAGAAAACATGATTAAAATGTAATTATATTTATCAAAACTCTCGAAATTTTCAACCCTCTCAGCCGGCTACAGTTTACTTTTTCGGTTCCTCAATGTCGCCGCCTTTCCTCTCCTGACTCCTGAATCATCTTGGAGATGACCACCTTACCAAAATTGTTGATGAGATAGTAATAGGTCACTGCATTATCATTTTTTACATTTGAATTATTTTGATGCATATTGGTGTAACTTAGTGTCTTTGAATAATTTGTACTCTAGTAGACTTTAATCTTTTAGAAGCAAAAGAGGTTTTTGTCTAGTCGACAAGTTTATGTTAGCTATTTACTATATAGATGTGTTAGATTCGAAGACGAATGATTTGATATAGTATAATATTTTCATTTTATTTTATTGGTTAATAAATGTTTTAGGATTGAATGCTTTTTCCTATTAAAAATACTATAACTATGTTGATTTCCGCTATTTATTATGTATGTTTTGTGTTATAATTGAAGACATACATGTTGAACTTCAGATATAATAATCTTGCTTATACAGGGCGAGTATTACCCATGAGTATCCGAAACCCATGGGTATGAGAATGGGTTTACAAAACCTCCCTCCGCAATGGTATGAGGCGGGTATGAGTTTGGTATTTGGTAATGGGAATGGAGATGGTTTAGGCAAACCCGCCCCAAACCCGCCTCATTGCCATCCCAACTAAATAGTGTGTTAAACTCAATTTCAATCCTAAATAAATTTATTATCTCAATCACAATTCTCAATATTTTGTTCAGTATTAGACTATTAGTATATATCAATTGCTAAATTAATTCTATTCAAAATTCCAAATCCAATATACAAAAGTAAATACTTCTACTTTGCCAGCACCTTCACAAAACATTCTCAAAATATATAAAAACAAGCAATGATGCAACACTCGTAGAAGTATAATAACAAGAAAATAGGAGGAAACGCTAGTGCAACATTTAACGTCAACATCTAAAAATTTGTACTTAAATCCAGTAGATAACAAACATCAACATCAAAATGTTCATACTTTAATCCAAAAAATCTTTCTGTTTTTGTTACTTAATTCCAACAAAACAACGTCATTTTGTTTAGTGATCGAAAATTGACCGTGCCGGTCGTGTCACTTTATTTTTCGATTTGACATCTTTTATAGATTTTGACCACCACTTCATACCAATAATAATACATCCGATTTTAATCCACTATCAATCAAATTCTACTATTTCGGCCGACAGTACTAATTTGACGGTCATAGAATACACGGACAATAGAATAATGGGTTATATATGGATACCCAATATCAAATTACAGTCACTTCCCAGTCAGCTTCAAGAAATATATTTCAGAAACAAAATCTGAATGAAATCCTCCACCATGATCACTGTAACCCCAATATTCCTCCTTTGTCAAATTACCATCTCGATCTCTTTCAAGACCAGCATATCCCTCTCCTCTGTATCAGATGACACCATCATGACCTGAATATGACTTCACTAAGTAGTAAGTACAATCTCTTTCATTTACAATATTATGTATAAATATAAATATGTTACCCTCATAGAATTTGTCTCACTCGATGAGGTGAGGACAATATCAATAAAGATTGACGGATAATCATCTATACATTACACCGGCTTCTAACTAATCATATATTAAGCAACACTTTGCGATTTTGATATCCAATAATCCTCAATGTTTTGTATATCATACATCAAGTGTGACCTGATTGTTGGATGTATTTCGTTGTATTTAGACGAATTAAAATCGTTGATGGTAACATACTCCAAATTTGGGGCATGAGGTTTATTGTTAGAAGTTAGCACATAGTAACATATAATCAAATTGTTGGCGAGCTTGTTCTAGTGTTAATCACTAGTCCTAAACTTGAAGGTCTCAAGTTCGAATCTCTTCAATATAAATTTAAATAGAAATATCTTACTAGCCGTACAAATAATGTATAGTCAAGACTCAAGAGATAGAGCATTCTCGCAATATATATAGTTAAAGTTAACCACCAAATAATAGGGGTGGGCATTGGGTGGGTCGGGTGGATTTTGACCATAAAATGCACCCACCCGCGTTTAAACGGATTGATAATTTTTAACCCACCACCCACCCACATTTAGTCTCGGGTTGGGTCGGGCGGATGGTGGATGATTTGGGTGGGTTTGTGGGTTCACCCACATCACAATGTATATAATATAAAGGAGTCAACTTGACATGATAATAGGCGAAGAGAGTGGAAACAAGAAGATGAAATAGGGCGAAAAATGTCGAATTAGTTCTTAAAATGGATAGAAATTCTATGATGAAAGAGTTTTCTACAAATTGAGATGATTATCAGGTGCAAGGAACTAAAAAAAATAATTCCACAAAGGAAAGAGCATTGATTTAGGCACAAGAATTAGAGGAAAAAATAAAGGGAAGAAGAGGGGATCGCTATTTGGAAGGTTGGCTTTGAGGTTTAAACTCCAGGAGCAGTCCTAGTTTATGTCTAACGTCTCCACTCTCCCCTCTCTAGCGCCAACGACTTTGATCTTTTTGCTGTTGGGTTGAGCGGGTCACCCGCGCACCCACCCACAACCCACCCACCACCCGGCGGATGGCTCCCAGCGCAACCCGTCACCCACCCATAGACCCACCCACTTAACGAAATTCGGGTCAAATGCGGGTGGGTCGGCCCAAACCCGCGGATGATCCGCCCGCATGCCCAGCCCTACCAAATAAAGCACATTGCATTCCAGCAGATAATCATAATTAAATAATCTTCTCTGCAGAAAAAAGTGGCAGCGGGAAAGCGAAAGAAAGAACGTAATGGAATGGAAACCTCCAGGAACTAACTACGCAATCAATCTCTCGAATCCAAAAGATGCCTCATTTTCTCTCTAGCTAAATCATCTTTAGATGATGATTGATACCTAATTAATTAGCTTTTCTAAGCCCTTTTTTTCTTCTTCTAGCTATTGTATGGTATCCAAACTTTAAGAGGCTAGATAGCCCAGTGTTGGAAGTTTAGTACCAGTATTTAGGATATACTAAATACCGCATCGAATTTGTCTATATATTTTTTTAATATCTAAATTTGTTTATATTTGGTATTACCAAATACATGTATTATTTTTTGAGATTGGGATTGGGATTCAATTTCAATTGTTATTCGGTATTAGTGATTACGGGATTGTGATCGATATATACCAAAATACCGAACAATACCGAAATATAAGCTAGTGTGTATTTTATCCTGTCAACTGGACTCTATCATTCACTACTACACGACCCTCAACCCCCCAATCTCTTGTTATTTTCATAACACCAAAAAGCAAACACTAGTATTAGTTTTCTCCCAGCCTCCAATTCACCAAGTTAAAGATTACCAATGACAAAAAAACTCGAGATGTCACCTCTCATCCATTCTCCTTATCCATATCCTAACTCTAGCCAAACTCAAGACTCTTTGCTTAGTCTCTTTATCCTATATATTAAACAATCAAATCTAGTTTAAATATTTAATTATTAATTACAAAGGTAATTAATTTCGTATTCGATAATACCGATTGGGATACCGAAATAGGGATTGAGATTGGGATACTGAAATTATTTAGAGATTGTGATTGATTTTAGGGTGTAATTCGGTATTCGAAATTTTAGTATTTGATATTGGAATACCGATATCGTACCGATTTCCACCCCTACGACCACAGCCACATACCATCATGCAATATTGTATGTATCGATGCAAAACCCTAAAGTTGTTCTGTTCATTTGCAAGCAATTACGCATTCCCACATTTTAATTGTTTACATTTTGTATCAAACAACTTTGAGATATCGAACAAATTCCTTTCTATAGGTCGAGCGCTTCCCATTTTCTAGCTAGGGAGGTAGATTGGTTATTCTTTGCGGCTAATTAAACTAGTGGCAGATCGAACTCAAAATTGTGTTTAGAAGTGTACTCGTTTTTTGAAATTAATTTAAAATGAGAAAAATTACAACAAGATACAACGCCGTGTTTTCATATTATGAAGAAAAAATTTATATATATAATTTACATTTAGTATTTACAGTGCTCAGCAAATGTTTTGCAATATCCCATTAGACAATCATTTACGAAATGATTGTTCATTCAATTTCGAAACTTATTCTTGGTACATAGCCCAAAACTAATAAACTACTTCCATAAAATCGATAAATTCCCCCCCCCCCCCCCCAATTTTAATGATGTCCCTAAATGACCATGAATCCGTCCCTACTCTAAACTAAAAAAAAAAAATTGATTAGCCAGGCCTGGAAATCAAAGAATCGACATGTAGTCGGGTACAAACTGAGGGCTTTTCGAGCCACCAAATGGGCTACCCTATTGCTACTCTGTCCTACAAATCGAACACTAAGCTTAGTATAAAACGAGAATATCCTGATGAGCTCTTCCAACACCGGCCCTACCATGTTATCACGTGCATCCCGCCGATTGATTTTATCAATTAACACCTGGG